GGAGTTATTTCTGGCTGGGCTAATCTTATTTCTCTGGGCACTTTGATAATGGAGAAGACTTGAATAATGAATGGGGTGTATAATACTTCTTCCTCAGGCCCGCTGAATGAATTAGGTGCTTCTAGTGAGTTTCTGTTAGTGTCTCTAACATAATGTCCCGTCTATCCCACGCTCTTATTTTGTATTTTTTGGAATCGGAATACAAATACACACTTCAGCAGAGCTCAGGGAAGAAAAGAAATAGTGTAAACGCTGTTAATGTATGCTGAAATTTAGACTACGCAATTACCCCTCTCACCCCTTACCATCTCTCTCTCTCTCCCTCCCTGTGCTCACATCTCCTCATGTGTGTGTGGTGCACGTCTCAATACGCTCTGCATAATGTATGGTGTGTTAGTTGGCAGACAGCTTGACCTCACACACAGACTCTGAGACTCTAAATGTTTCTCTGTGACAGAAGTTGTCTCTGCGGAGCCGATGCTTAGTGAAGCATCAGGCTAATAATCTTGTGTGAAGAGAAGCCATTGGTATTTTCATTATGTATTAGTATGTTTTCAACCCATTAATCATTGATATATTTGATTTATTTCATTTGTAAGTTTTGCTTAAAATTAATTTAGTAATAAATACAGTCAGCACATGTCTTTAGTTGTGACACAGCTGTAACTAACAATAAGTGTTTTTTTTCCTATTAAATAATGAATCGTTTAGCCATTACAATCTTAAAATATAATGTAAAATGCAACAGTGCTGTACTCAGCAGTGATGCTCTAAACAGCTAAAAAATATTCAATTTACAATGAAATAACACAGAGACAAACAGGAAACCTTCAGAGTTGAAGCACTAACGAAATGAAAAATGACTTAAATTAATCAATTATCAGAATAGTTTGTGATTCCCTTTCTGTTAGTTAATTAATTTAATATTTATGTCAGCACTATGCGACTTCTTTGCCAATCAGTCCTGTTTGCCTGTTGCCTCATTGTCTGGAGGAAGTGTTCAGATCCCACCTTTACAAGTAAAAGTCCTGCATTCAAAACTGTATTGATGTAAAAACAAAAAAAACGTAGTGTAAATTTATCAGCTAAATTTACACTAAGTCTATCAGGAAGTTCAGACTTTGCAGACATTTTTACATGTATGGATATTTATTACAAGTGTAAGCAGCTTTTTAATGCTGTAGATGGCCTAAGTGGAGCCGATTAGCTATTTTACATATTAGTGTAGGCTAGTTTAATTTACTGTGTAAGAATATATTGTATTTTACATGCTCATCATGTTTTTTTAAGAACTTAAACTGTGAAGTAAGAAGTAAGAGCCCCTCTCCTTAAATTTCATACAGTAGAAATACACCACCAATATACTAATATTTGTGGCCACGAAAAGAGATTCTGTTTACCCTCATCTGATAAAAACACATAATGTGGATTCACTTCACACACAGACGTGTAGAAAAGGAAAGAAGGGAACAGGAGCTACAGATGGACAGCATCTCCTGCTACACCTTTAAAAGACACCCATCACCCTGGCCTCAAGTTTCCAGAGAGTAACACGAACTCACTGTGTGTGTGTGTGTGTGTGTGTGTGTGTGTGTGTGTGTGTGTGTGTGTGTGTGTGTGTGTGTGTGTGTGTGTGTGTGTGTGTGCGCGCGTGTGTGTATGTGTATTTGTACTGTGTGTTGTGTGTGTGTGCCCAGGCCTGTGCTGCACACAGGTAGCCTATGTGTATAGCATTGTGAGCAGTAGTGGGTCCTGAGCCGGTTTGGCTTGTGATGATAATAGAAGGTGACTAATAGAGAGGCAGAGGTAGCTGTCTCCCCTCGCTCTGGTCACATTCTCATTTGTTGCTACTGGCACTGGATGAATTATTGAGTTCGGGGTGTCTTGTCTTGGGGGTGGGGGTTGAACAGACCGTGTGTATGTGCATGTATGTGCATGCATTCCTCAGCAATTAAACACAGCTTTCATCCTCATTCTGTCAAAAATGGTCTGTCCTGCATGAAAACATCTTAAGCAAACACACACACACACACACACACACACACACACACACACACACACAGTCTCCTTTTCTCTCAAACTCCTCTTCTCTTTCTTTCTGTTTGTTTTTACCTCTTTATTTTAATTTTTCAATCTCTTTCATCTCTCGTCATTCATAGTCGTTTCAACAATAAATCAACGTTCATAAAGTTTGATTCAAAACCTGTTCTCATATTTACATATAGACTAATGCACAAATTGGCCCGTAGAGCCAACACGTCGCTATTATTGCATGAGAAAATGCAATATACCTTTCAGCGGCTGCTGAATTATTGAGGTGCCCTCAGTAACCACATGCTGCTAACGCTCACAAGCCTTCAGCTCAACTTACCACACAGCCAGTGCGTTATGATATCAATACGGGTATTACAAAGATCAATTATTCACAGGCCCAAGCTCCTTTTTTTAACCTCGCACAAACTTCTCATTCAACTACGACATGTGGAGTTTTGATGCCTGAACAATCTTAATAACTGTAATAACCGTTACTATCATTCTTAGAAAGTTTAATAAAAAAATTTTCATGACGAAACTTCGACTGAACCTTGTAAAATATTTCCGCATGAAAAATGTGACACACAGTTTAAAGAAAAAAGCGCATTCGCAACGACAAGGATTTACGTTTGCGTTTTCATCTCGCCCTCCCCTCACAAAGTCATATTTAACACCATAAATTATAATTTAATAAAAAGACTAATTAATCACATCTCTGCATCAAAGAGAATATTAATAAGTGCCACAAACGTTTCCGTGTAATTGCAAAGTATTGATCCTCTGGCTGAAACAAGCCGCCGACAGTCTCACCGGGAAAATCACACAACCGGAGGTCATGTTGACTGTGGGAGGAATCCGGTGGAAGCTTTTCATTATTTTGTTTTCATTTATGTTATTTAATTTTTTTTAGAGTTGCTTTTTATATATACATGTATATATATATATATATATATATATATATATATGTATATATATAAGAAAGTGGCCATTGCTCTGATTGGATTCAGAGAAAATCAGGAATTTGGAGTAAAATGTAAATGTTATTTTACTAACATACGCATAAACATACGTTAATTGCAATTTAGAGTCACACTTATTTTCGATGGTAACAATAATAATGATGATAGGCCTAATAACAATAATGATAATAGTAGCTCAGGTAAAATGGCCTTGTCGGCCTACGTTATATAAACAGACATTGGTGAAAATTGCAACCCTGTCCGCTGAAATCAAATATAAATCAAATAAAAATAAACATAATAAATGGAAAAAATACTTACTTAGCCAAAGAAATAATAATAATAATAAATAAATAAAACTGGTACTTAAATTTCCCTCTTTCCTCGGTCAACCTGTAGTGTATCCACTTCGTCTCTCCCTAGAGTCACCAGGGTTCCCAGTCAGCCTTCTCCTCCCAGCTCCTCCACATTGCTCCGTTTTATACCAATATAGCCTATAATTAATATTGCATCGTCATTACTTAATAATTTCAAAGCCCATGCACGACATAACCCCGGTGACATGAGGGCATCCATAATTAAAAGTGCACTAATTAGAGAGGAAGGGGCCATTAGCAGCAGTGTATGGAGGACACACATTGTGCGCTGCGCGGTGTGAAAACCACTGTGAAAATGGAGGGCCCTTTATTTTATGCGGTGCTTATATCATATACGACGATGCATATTTAATCCCAGCAGAGGTTTGGGGATTCATAAATAAAAGAGTCCGAAGAGTTTCAATACAACAAACAGTTTACAAAGATTTCATCGCCCTTTGGTGCGACTCTGGATGTTCTGACTTGGACAATTTTCGTTTAACCCATGTTAAACTTAAAGGTCATCTAAACTGCCACATTTACAGACTTGGCCCCGGAACCTCGAGATTGAAATAATGCAGTTTAATAAAGCACAAAAATAACAAAGTCGCTGCTTCAAAGGAATTTTAGAAAATAACCAATAATTTATTAAGCTTAAACTTCACACATTTGTTTTTTTCAAGTGAGGAAGAAGAGTGAGAAAAATAAATAAATACTTAAATTAGGTGATGTAGGCCTATATACTGTATATATCCGGGCTATATAATAAATATATAGCTCACCTGTAATGCTCCAAAACATGTTCACATCAAAATATTAAAATATAGCAGCAGCCAAAAGCCACACGGATGTGCTTCATATATGAAGGTGTTATTTCCATTTTTTTTTTAATTATTAAAGATAAAGAGAGTCGGTGTGTCATACCTTGTGAAAGAGTTTCTGTAATTACTCTTTTTTGTGCGTAAATTACTATCACATAGTTCAAGGAGAGAGCAGATTTGTAAAAATCGTGGTGTTGGTTTAAAAAGGTGGGTGATTTTTTTTTTTACCTCTCTCATCGTTGAACTCACATTCCACTTAAGTCTTATGGATAAAAAAACAGGTGGAAATACAGGTGAAGATATGATGGTGTACTTCTGCATATGTGAGCCAGTGATGTGGAGGGCCAACTCTGACCTCCACCAACAATACAATAAAAAATCTTTTCACAAAACCACTATTTCCTTCATCCTCCTTCAGTTTAACACTGACAACTAAACAGTCCATAAATGTAGCCTCTCAACTCCTCCTTATGGTTTTTTAAGAAAAAAAAAAGTGAGTTAATATCCCTGAATGTGACGAACTGTCAGGGTGAATTGACTGAATATTCATACTCAGTGTGCAAGATACATGATCAACAACACCAAACCCCCAACCCCTCCCTCCTCACAGATCTATAACACAGTCATGTGTAAGTCCCATATGGAAAAAAAGTGCAACAGCGAAGAGTGAGTGACACCAACTGAAAAATCAAATCAAATGTCTTTTTGGAGATAATCCCAGATGAGAAGTGAAGAGCAGTTGATAAATCCCTGTTAGTTAGGCTACTTAGGCTATTATTAATCACTCGATCAAAAATGTAGTAGGCTATTTTATTCATGATGTGTGAAACTCAGTGCACCGCAGAGTATTTCATTCGTTTCTGTTTTTGCCGCTGGTTGCAAAACCACACTCGAACCACATTCTTTTTCAGGTCCAGCTTTTCGGCGATGGCCGCAATTTTTTCCGAGGAGGGCCGGGGCTGGATGGCAAAGTACGCCTCCAAAGAGCGCTTCTCCGGCGCGGCGATGGAGGTGCGCTTTCTTTTCCTCTCGTTCCCGTTGAAAAGGTCCGGCTTGCTGCTTTTCTCCCGGTACGCAGCCTCGGCTTCCTCAAGCCAGGCCTGGAGAACCGGCTTGAGAGCGATCATGTTGTTGTGGGACAAGGTGAGAGACTCGAACCTGCAGATGGTGCTCTGGCTCAAGGACCCCACTCCGGGGATCTTGAGGTTGGCCAGCGCTGACCCGACGTCCGCCTGGGTCACCCCGAGTTTGATCCGCCTCTGCTTGAACCGCTCGGCGAAGGCTTCCAGCTCCCTGGGATCCGACTCCACGTCGTTGACGCACGCCATGCCGCCGTGCACTGACAGGGAATGAGGGTGGGCCATGGTTGCCATCGCCTGGTGCAGCTGCCCCATGGTCTGCAGGTGGTGGTGAGGGTGCTGGTGGTGGTGTGCCGCCGTGGTCATCCCTGGAGGCTCCGGAGCACCCATCCCGGTCACGGCCAGGCTGGTGGAGAGGTGGTCCAGGAGGTCCCCGGCCTCCAGGGTCTGTCCGAGGTGGTGGTGATGGTGGTGGGAGGCGATGGTGGAGGGGACGTGGGAGATGGGCACGGTGGTGGAGGAAGAAGAGGAGGCTGAGGTGCAGGGGACACTGCTCATGGTATGGTAAGTCACGTCTGGTTTGAACGGGTGACTCTTGCCGTGAGAGACAATGCTGTCAGCAGCCGCCAGAGCCTCTGCCCGTGCCAGCAGGCTCTCATCAAAGCCTCCGAATATATTGCCCTGCAGCTGCAAGCAAGAGTGCGCATACTGAAGTCAGTGGGGAATTCTGTCAGGCAGCTCTCAGGATCTAAAAAACATTTTCCAAAGGCAAGCAGCACCGAGGAGAGGAGAGAACCCTCCTCAAAGCGCAGGTCATAAAAATTAATATGAAAGCAAGAGCATTGCTTGAATAGAAGTGGATGAGAGTTGGGGGGGTGGGGGGTTGGGAGGAGGGGGAGAGGGGGAACACAGACAGAGGAGAGAGTGAGAGAGATAGTGGATAGAACAAAGTCCTGTCAAATCAACTTAACAGCATATTTTCCTGGGATATCCCCCCCACCCCCAACCAGCACCCCCCCCCCCACCCCCACCACCACCTTTCCTCTCAAACCGCTGCTACTCCACTGCCAGTCTCCCCCGACCTGAACGTACCTGCGGGGCGGGCAGACAGACTCTGCGCATGCCCTCCGAGCCTGAGTGCAGGCCGGGATACTTGGGCTCGTGCAGAGCCGGGTGCACGGAGAAATGCTGCTTGCCGTTCATGGTCATCATCCTCCTCCCTGCAAGCACCTCGCAAGCAGTGTGGCCCCTGACATGAAAGCCGGGGAGCGGACAGCTACAGAGCTCCTCTACTCTCCTACACCAGACTGAGCTGTTAACATCGGCAGCGCCTCCCGGCATCCCTCTCTCGCTCTTCCTGCCCTCCTCCTTCTCCTCCTCCTCCTCCTCTTTCAGCCTCCCTCCTCCTCCCCTCCCACCTGCTCCTCTGCTCAGCTTACAAGTTGCAAAATGTTGGCTTCTGTGCACAAGCGTTGCATAAATCCAACAAAATAAAGAATAAAACCTTGATCATTATGACATTTTTACAAATCGTATTATTCTAAAAGTTTCTTTTAAAGGAGGCCTAGTATTCATCTTTTTACAAGATATTTTATTTTTCTATTCCACGTGTTTATTATATCAACATGTGTCGTCTATATCATCACTTCCGTGAAAAAGAATGAAATCTGTCGAGGTCATGTTCAGTACATGTGTTAAAAAGCATAAACAAAACATGAGAGTTAGGTTTAGGATGACAAAATGAAACCAGGCATTCCTACGCTACAGTGAGTGCGCTCAGTATTTCGGCACCATGGACAGCGCAGGAGCGACCTGAGCCAACCTGTGCTGCGCTATCCATGGTGCTGAAATAGTTGGGAACTGTAAAAGGCCCAAAAGTCTTCAGGAACTAAGCAATAGTTTCGGTCCAACATGCTTCTGATTGTATCTGAGGCCTGTCAGGTTGCTGACCAGTTGACCTGCCGGCCTTGGCCAGGTCTCCTCCCATGTGAACGCCCATCGTCGGGGCTGCTTTACAGGCTTCTCATGTGGCCACCTGGTTAAAACGCATGAAGCCGTGGTGGACGGGCCGAAAGGGGAGCCAGGTGGGCAGAGGCGGACTGATGACACAGCGGGTCCATCCGATCCCGCTGGCCGCCTCTCTGGTTCCCCAGACCCTGAATAATTTAGCAGCGCGGTGGCAGGCATCCATTACCACGTTGGCATGTTCTTATTCATTACACAGATTAAAACAGCCAAGGTCTTTTCTCACCGTGCAAACCTGTTGCACGCTGGACACTTTGATAGAGGGAGGGGAGAAAAAAAAACACATATAGGCTTCACTCTGATTTGTACATTCACTTAAGCCAACACAAATCGATGAGGATGGCTTTAAAATGTTTTTATAAACTTTTGCTGATATCCTCAATCATAGACTGGACGCTTACACCTTTGATTTTCTAGCTGGGGAGTGTAAATGTGAAAGGTAATATTTTGGTATAAAAAAAAAAATCTTTCTATATTTAGACAGACATGTCAGTGTCCTATAGAAAAAAGGACTCATGTGAAAAGCTGTCAGAAAGCTGTGCATCCCACTAAATTTCTAGTTAGTCTGAATAAAGTATGAAGTCCCTTTTCTTGACCTTCCCCTTCCCCTCTTAATAGCTGTCATATAGCTGGCACTATTCATTATTTAATGCTTATTTTTTTTACAATTCTGTAATCTCTGTGCTTTCCATATTCTGAAGATTGCTGCCATATTTGTGGCCAGATGTTTTGTTTTTTTTACCCCTCATCTAGCTCTGCATACAGCTGCAGCTGCTTCTCCACCACATGACCTAACTACGGTCACAGCAGTCATTCCTTTACCTGTGGTGATGACTAATTTCAGTGAAAACTTAACAGATTACTTTTAATGATGTACTGGAAATTACAGTCATGTATAGATTTGACTTAAAGTAATCCTTTTTTCTGTTTCTGAACATTGAAAATATGACATATTTACATTATCATATGAAATTTAACAAAAAAGACCTGTGTGCATTTTTTCACATAATTCCTAAGCTGAAATGTTAAAATGCACAAAGTGAGTCCTGTGGAAGCCTACAGCCATCAAGTTTAGAAATTGGGAGTAAAAAATAATGTATCATGAATTTCTAACAATTCATATCTCATAATGTGAATTACTTAAAGCATTATAACTTATATTATAACTTAGACTATCCTTGTCATTTCTTAAATGTTATTATTATTTTACAAGTATTTAGAAAGTGACATTCTCGTTTTTGTCAAATCACTTTTATTTTCATATTTATACCAATATCAGATATTAATGGCAGGAATTGGCTTCCATAGAGCCCAATTCTACCAGTGCTGCTTCTTTACTTCCCAGTCACTGCCATAGCATCTGTCAGCAACAGTGCACCATTCAGGCCCCAGTTTGAAATCCCTTCCCCCAGGGAGAGACAAAAGCTCTTGCATTAAACTAAACCGACTCTGAGTGTTTTCACTTGACTTCCTAAAGTAAGAAACGCTCCTGCATTATTCAGTGATGTTTTAATATGTCATAGTGAATGGGTGCTGTAATTAAACCTGAAGAGTCAGAGGTCAACATCTTTACTGTGCTGTGGGGGGATTTATTTGGGGGACGTGGGTGTCAAAGTGAGTGTCTGCGAGTAATGATTGGCTTATTCTACTTAAAAAGATGGACACAATGGGATGTACTGGATTCTATTGATTATCCAGTTACATTTACCCTTTTATCGGCTTATAGTTGTGCCCAAACTTCACATAGAATTTTAACCTGATTGTAAAACCAAGATAATATACAGTTTAATCATTTCAATTTCATGACTATTTAACCTGACTGTATTTTGAGAAATATTTAGAGCCTTTCATTGATTGTTGGGTACATTTTATCATATTAGGCCATGTTTCTGACTGGCTACCAAGAGTTCATTAAAGGTCCAATGTTGTATAGTGAGATTTCCATGTCTTTTTTGTTATTATAAAGCAGGTCTAGGTTCTATATTAATACTGTGAAAGTATCAAAGTGCTCAGTCCACAGAGAAATGCACACAGCCTGTATTCTGAAACTGCGCCTTCAAACGAGCTGTCAGGACTTCTGTAACTTTGTGATGTCACAACAAAGCAGTCACCGCTCACTGACCTGTTGTTACTGGAGCTCAAGAGAGAAGCCTGAGAGAGGAGATGTAAAACTACATTGAGATGGTTTTTGGTTCTTAAAACCACAAATATATCTTCTTATGGATCAACACTTGTAAAAACAAATAAAACACTGGAGAAGTGTAAAATATGGACCTTTAAAGTCACCCAGACACATCAAAGTAACACTGTTCAGATCATCATTATCTGCCATTCTAAACCTTGCCTTGATTAAATAGACACCATACAAACATTTAAAAATGAATGGCAATTTGTACCGTTTGTGTAATTTAAAATTTGTACGTTACTTAAAATGAAATTTTCACTTTGAGTAAGAATGCCATTCCTGTGATCATTCAGGCTTCAAAGGAGCTAGCTTTGTATTTATACCTGTGAAATAAATCAAATTCTGCTCATATCTGAAAATTTAAATTATGTAGCAGTACTGGTAAATGATACTGAAGAACTCCTTCCACCCAATCTTTTCAGTGTGCTCAGAGTATCCACTAACACATTTTAAGAGATAGCATGTGAAAGTAAGGAGACCACACAAGAGTTTAAGGTAATATTTTCTGGAATGCTTTTGCTTGATTTTTTTTCCCCTTGCCAATGTTGACTTCTTCTTTCTTGGTCAATTTTCTCTCTTTAACTTAAAATATTCTTTTTTTCCCCTCCAAGATCCAATTTAAATTGTATTTTTTTTCTTTTCTTTTTCTTTTGACAAGCACCCCATTCCTCCATCTTTATTGGCAAAAGCAAACATGCTTGTAAATTAGAAATCCATTTTTTTTTACAAACAAAATACATGAAGAAAATACATCCACATCCTGCAAATATAAACAGTAACAAATCCAAAACTATTATCCAATAAACATTTTACATTTTTACACTATTGTGTGATAGTAGCATACAGAAGATAGTACAAAAAGTGGGAGAGAGACCTTCTCTGAATCCTCAATTACACAAGCAAGAACCCTGCCAGTATAGGTTTGTCCTTTAAAACTGCCAGAGACCTCATATTAAAAACAAACAAACAAAAAAAAAAAAAATCACATTAGCAAATCATATGAAAGTACTAAGTGCGAAGGGAAAAGCTGCAGCTTTCCATCACACACCTGAACATCATTATGACTGGCACAGTGATGGTGGAGACAAAAATATGAACCCAAAGGTTTTAATGAGACAATGAGGTCGATGGCAGGAGGCTTCTGAGTTTTTCGACAACAGTGAGATATGCAACCCAAACATGAGCGCTACCGCCATCGTAGGTGGGAGGAAATTATTTGTCTGCATTCACACGTAGGCGAAAATCTGCATGTGTTACTTACATGCAGATTTCTGCCTGCATAATCATGTAAATGAGTGAGACGGCTACAGTTAATGTCTCTTCTTTGTTGTGGTGCTTCAGTCTGACTGGCTGTTAGTGGATATGATCTGTTTAGTTGAGTTATGATAAGCATACATCAAACAACACTCCATTAGGCTGCATGTAAACATAGTTATTTGTTTAAGGGAAACAACAAAAGAAAAAACTAACTGTCAAAAATGTATTATCTTGCATCGAGTTCACTGAATTTGAATGGATTTCATTCCTCCCACCTTGAGGATTCTAAAATACAGTATAAAGGCAAAACACACGCAAGAAACTTTTTGTCATGAAAGGTGCACATTGTGGTTGCACTAGATTGGGTTGTCGAGCTTTGTCTGACAATATTCAGATGTAGGCAAAGCTGCACTAATGCACAAATAATATTGTGAGGTGCATGACCACCCCCACCCACCCACCCACCCACCCATCCTACCCCACTCCACCCCACCCCCCGGTGCCTTTCAACCGAGTATTTTCCACAGATCAGAGCAGCTCTGAATGGTTCTTTAAAAGAAATGTGCTACTTAGATGACAAATTTAGTGAAATAACAATGTGGACTGGTCACAAATGCAAAATTCTTGCGAATAAGCAGAGACTTAGCAGTGATGCTATGCACTCTTGCTTGACCTTTTCTACCTGACGCATCCTTGTCATTCATTTAAAATGACAGAAAAACAAAACTAAAAAAAAAAAAAAAAAGAAAAAAGAAAAAAAAGTACAACAGTAATTTCTCTTTCAAGCATTTACAAAATTTACAAAGTAAATCACAAATCTTGTAAAAATTCAGCCATCCGCTGATTGTGTAGGCAAAAAGAATTATATATATATATATATATATATATATATATGTATATATATATATATATATATTAAAATCAATTGTTCAGTATTACATTCAGACACCTGTCTATGGATCTCACATTTTTGAAATGGGTGATCTGATCCTTGTCCTGTCAGGCCCTTTGGATGAACAGGTGACAGAATAAAACAAGTGAAAAATGTAACACACTCTTAGAAAATGTAGAACACCTGCATGGGTGTTTGTATTTACACAGAGTGGCACTGGACATTGAGTGAACAACAAAATACACACGGGGAAAATTTGAATTTTTTTACTACAAGACTGTATCTGTCGTGCATGGACATGGCAATTTGTAAACATTGTTAAGAGTTTTTCTATTGCACTGGTATCCTTCTGTACCTGCACTGGCTCTAATATGGTCATGGTACAGTATCAGCACCTTTGAGTGCTGGGAGGGGGTGGCTCTGTTTGTTTGGGAATACAACATGCACAAACTAGCATGTATTCATGCCAGCACACAGAGCCACTGTCAAAAATATTTGGATCCTTTAACATTTTGGGATTTCCCATGCCAAAAAACAAACTGCGATTAAAGTGAAATGGAAACCCACACCACACTGTGCCAACGTAGGTGTGGCACAGGGCATTTATGCAGTGGAAAAAATAAATAAATATCTCTCTGGTTAGCAACAGAGAACGTTCTAATGGTGATGGAATGGCTGTCCCTGAACGGAGGACAAGACTTTTCAAAAACTGGTGAGAAAAAGAGCTTAAATACAGTATGTATAAAAATACCTATTCACAGTAGACACAAATGTTGTGCATTACTGATATTAATCATCTGGTAAGCACACTGAAACTTACATATGTTTTTCTATCTATAAGAACAACTTAACATTTATCTTTCTCAGCAAAAGTGAGATGTTTTAAATAATTGTTTAGTCGAGGGATACAAAAACTGTCGACCCTCGAAACTTCTTTTGATGTACAATAAAGTAAAGATGTTTTTACTTTGATTAGAGTCTAAAATTACTTAGTTTGAAAATACTGGAAAGGAAAAAAATGACGAGTTCTGCTGTATTGATTTTATCTGCGTGAGGAAAAATAACCACTGATTTTGCTGCAGAGCAGGTAACGACGAATCACAATGCCTTCACCGTCTCCACGATCGGCTCTCGTACTCGTCGTCTTCGTCGTCATCCTCCTCCTCCTCCTCTTCCTCCTCCTCCTCACCAGGCAAGTAAGAGCTAGCTTCCTTCTATTTGAATGAAAAAAAAAAAAAAAAGCCAGATCACACTAGAGAAGCTTTGAACCGTTTACCGCTGTGCAAACCTGTTACTTTATACCCACTGTGCAACCTGGCAAATCAGTTCTACTGCCTCTTAGAAAACACGTGTGTTTATTGCAATGTGACGTCTACAAGTTGTTTAGATTATTTACACAGTGCTCGATTTCATTGGCATGTAAAATGAACCTCACTACCATCTGTAAATGGCAGCAAACAAACACCTTTCAGTATAATCCAATACAACACCTCAATGACACAGTATTAACAAAAAAAAGAACATTATAATCTCCACAAAGTAAGGATTTGTTGCAGGGTTGTTGTACTCAATTGCATTAGCTTGCACAGGTATGTCCTATAGAGTGGGAACTTTTGCATTCTTTTGAATTCTCCAGCACAAATGGAAATGAGGACTGGTAGCATCATGGGCCCCTCACACTTCACAAAGCAGGATGATTTTATCAGAAAGAATTGGATTGAAATGAGAAGGGCTTTGTGTCTCTAACTCTGCCCTTGCATTAGGGATGTCACGATACTAGAAATTTGGTAGTCGGTACCAATAGCAACAAAATGCCATGATTCTGGACATTTTGACGGCATTTTAATATAAAGTTAACAACTGTAAATCACTCACCCTGAATTTTGTATAAAGATCCATATGTCTGTCTTTGAGCTGCTTAGATAAGTTTGAAGCATTTCCTCATTTATTTGAAACGCTGTTCAACACCGTTTACTATCTGGCTTCTGGTTGTTGTCCCTGATGATCCGTGTCAAATACAACATATCTCCATAAACCAGTTCTGCTGCCCCCCGCATGTCGCGCCAGACCTGTTGCTGCACCTGCACTTGCTGCTTCCATTCAAGGTGTTGCTACTATTGTGTACTGTGCCTGCCTTTTTCTTCTCTTTGAGTTTGATGTCAGACTAGAACGCTTGGCGGTTATTATACTGCCCTCATTAGTCCCAGAGGAATCACATCTCGAGTACCTTCAGCATCTAACCATCACATTTTCTGAATTTTGGCTTCGACTTGGTACTGAAGTATCGGTTCTTGTGACATCCCTTCCTTGCGTTAAGACATATTTACACAATGATTATAATAAGAATTCAAAAAATATATAAAATGCATATTTAAGTGATGGGACTGACCCTGAGGACATAAAAGTTGCTTGCACACAAGGAAGAACGCAACCTCAACGACACAACTCAAAACATGAAAATACAGTATGAGGATTTCATCTGACAGTAATGCAGTTTTACTCAAAGGGCTTAGATGCTCTTAGTACTGAGAGGCTTGCCCTGATTTTCCATTGGGAGCTGCAGTGAAAAATTTAGAAGCACTGAAAAGAAATGTACAAGTAAAATCTGTGAATATAACTAAAACTTCGGAAACTTTCCCCACATAGAATTTCTAGTTGTTCTGTACATGGAACTCCTTCGTGGTTTCTAGTGGCGACATGTCACTAAATGATAAAACATACGCTTTGTTTCAAATCAAGTGCTTGGGTTTGAGTGTGATGTGTCATACCTTATTTTCCTCATCTTTCGCCTCTTCCTCCTCTGGCTCCGTTGTCACAGAAGGCGTCTTGGGCTTGTACCAGGAAATCTGCAGCACTCGACCTTTGAACTTAGCTCCCTGGTTCGCTGCCTAGAAAAACAAATGGGAGGAAAATTGAAGCTTTCACTAATTTTGTATCCGTAAAACTGAAAAATTTTCTTAAATTTCATTTTACCATGTCAGTAATTAGAGGGGATTAGAGGAAGGAAGAAAGAAAGAGAGGGAGTAAGAAAAAGGCAGAGACGGTGTGGCTTGATTTGGAGTCATGTGACTTACATTCTCTGCTTCGCTTCGTGTTTTAAAGGTCATGACGACACTGTTTGCGTCTTGGTCACGGAGATCCTCAATCTCCCCAAATTTCTAAGATAAAAAAAGAAAAAAGGATCAGGATGAATTTCAGTGTCATTGTTCCATAATCATCTCAAATCTCTGTGTGACAGTTTCACTGTCAACTCCTGGCTCCTTACCACAAAGTGAGGCATTAGCTCTTCCTTCTCCTCCTGAGTGACCCCCAAAATTGCCAGGGCTCTGGGTCTGTGGTCCACCACCATACGGTTCACGGCCCCGCCGCGAGCCATCATCTCCCGGCTTCGGCCCCTGCCGCGGCCCACGTGCATGGAACCGGGCTCCAGTGCCATCTTGCCGCGACCCCGACCCCGGCCCGCTGGAGGCCGAATCAGGCCCAACCGCGTTGCCTAAAGGAGGATAGACCGGCAGGTTTGATGCTCTGCTTACTTCAGTACTCATGGAACAGAAAATATAAGGGCGCCGCCTGGCTGTGTTTAAAAAATCATTACGAACAGATGCAGAAAACGTAACCAGACTGTGCAACTTGAAGCTGGGCTGTTTTTACCTTTGATGGGAAAACAAACATGTCAGGAAACTACAGTATGTTTATTTATCATGTGTCGACAACAAATTTGTTGTTCATTGATAATCACAATAAAATAGGCAAATTACAATGAACAGTTTCCTCATCTTCAGCTCAAACATGCCCGACACTCTTGACTCTGGTCTCCTCTGTTGCGCCCTGCCCTTTACCATTAGTTGTCATTCCTCCATTTTTAAAATGACATCCCCTTGCTTCCTAACCACTGCACAACCTCACAACTCTCTTCCATTTGTCCCTCCCTCACTTCTCTCCCTCTAATTGTCATCCTGCGATTTTCTTACAAGGACCAGCGACTCAAACTTTAATGAGACTGGGCTCCATCAGTGTAGGACCTGTGTCTGATTTGGCTTCGTTAGCGTCTGTTCCTCTGGGCTTCCTTAAGTGGCTGCAGTTTAATGTGCAGAAGGAGGGTTGGGTTTGGATGGATTGGGGGGATATGCATTTTTAACAACTAGCTAATTTAAGACCCACGGGGGTAGAGGGGAAAAAACATGCTAGGCAGGGTGTTGCTAACAAAAGCTCTGCTCTTGTTAGGCTGATCTTGTGACATAGCTGGCCTTGTCTGTGTTATTGTGTGCTGCTAGAGGGAAGAGAGGAGATATCTATTTATGAGATATCCCTGAAAGCCAAACTTTTAAAGACACTTTTTCAGACACCATACAAATGTTTACACGATTACAAATTCTTTCTGGCCCAGATCTGAATGTTTTTTCCCCCTCCAATTAACATAACATGAACGTGACTGTAGGAATAACAAAACGACTGAAAACTGAGGATTTCATTTTAAATTTTTTTTTTTTTTTTTTTTTTTTTTTTTTTTTTTTAAATCAAGCCTGGTTCTGGGTTCTACATAGGATAAACTCACAGCCTACATTATTGTGAGCATTTATATTTGTGTGCTAATAAATGTTGAACAACAATTACTTTTAGTGAAATTACTGTGACGGAGGTGCGTGTCAGGCTATGGTGTATGGTGTGCGGCTACACCGTAACTACGCCACACTTATGTCGTCAATTCAATGCAGAAGTATAAACCAGGCTTTATTTATTTCTCTCTGGCGATCAAAATATTGCTTTATTGATTTTATTGGTAGCCATTTACACAGTGTACGAATACCATTTGTTTCCTTCCTTTGCAGTTCTGAATTTCATCCTCTACCTGTAAAAAAGTTATTTAGATGCGGATATTAGTTTCCTCTTTTCTACTTCTATGAAATCAGTCAGTGTTGAGTGATACATGTGACCATTATCTGATCTCCTGACTTCCTCTGAGGCATTTCCTTCAGATCTTGTGTCTGTGGTTGTGTACCAGATGTGTATGTGTTTGTATGTGCATTACCTCAACCTGTAGCTGCCCCAGTTTTCTCTTGAGGTCTGTTGTGTCCTCTCCAGAGCTCATCTTCTTGTGAAAGTCCAGCTCTGCATCCAGTAATTCCTTCTGGGCCTGGTCACATGTCATGAAAGATGAGAAATTGTTTGGTTCACTGAATAAAGAGAAGCCATGACAAACTGACAGTTTCAAAACAGGCCAGCCCAAGAGGGTCCAAGCTTACATCAGTCTTGGTCTTGGTCTGGCCTTGGTTGGGTTTAGTACTGGAGACCTGGGAGGCAGGATTCATTTCATTCTGCAGCTGGGTGATCTTATCCGTCAGCTCCTTCAGGGTCTTCATGATGTTGGCTCTCTCCTCAGGTTTCATCCCTCGGTTCTTCTCCAGGCGGTTTATCAAGGCCTGGAGGAGGAAGAACAAGCAGTGTGACAGAGGAAGGTGTAAAGGAAGTGGTAGGAGAGAAAGTGGAGGGAGAAGTGAGTAAACATGAGATAAAGCAAGAGAAGAAAAACAAGACTTGCAGAGATAAATGGATGGGAAGTCAGTCTTACCTTCTGACACTCAATCTGTGTCTCTAACATCTCTTGCTTCTTCTTCCTCATGTCCTGCTGGAGCTTTAATGCCTCCTAAAAGAAAAAAGAAAAAACAATAAGTAAAATACATTCACAAAGGTGGAAAATACACTGCTACCAGTGGACAATTTCTCTCTCAGTGGAAGCATGCTTCTCACTAGTGGCCCCTGAGAAACACAAATGCCTAATCCTAGCTCTGCTATTCTTGTCGCAGTCAAAATATGCATTAAAAAATTAAGCAACATGCCTGTTTCTTCTTGAGGACTTCCTGTGCTTCTAGTGCTCTTCCCGTTTTCCCAAGGCTCTTTGAGGACGACTTGAGGGCTGTGGAAGTGTAGGGGCCCTTCTGGGTGTTTGTCAGTGCAGGCGCCACCTAAGTGCCACACAGAGACAGAGATAGAGATAGAGATAGAGAGAGAGGGAGAGAGATAGAGAAAGAGAGAGAGAGAGACACACATTAAGGTCATCAGAATGAGATTACAGACAGCAGTTAGACATAGACACAAACAAGAATGCATTGTTAAACACCAACAGCTCATAACAGATGCGTGCAGGCAAATGATTATTTATTCTCTTGTATTGTCGTCCACCTCTACACAAGTTTCTCCAACTGTTTCTTGCAGATCCTCTGAGAGCTGTTTCAGACTGGATGGGAAGTGCAACTGAACTGAGATCCTCATCTAACGTTTGTACAGCTTCTAGTTTCATAGTGATGTCGTAACGGCTGAAAATGCTGCAGTGGTGCTCCCATCTGCAGTGGCACACACCATAGGGCTGCATGTAGTGACCTGATGTGAGTGTGTCATTTATATTCAGCCTATACTGTTCAGCTCTGAGTACTGCAAAATCTGTACCTGTTAATTGGAGAGCCTCTAGACTGGACGCACTGACCGACAGGCCCAAAATTTTACTGAGAAAAATATACCTTTAAAAAAAATTAATGAAATAAAAAAGGAAGCCACAACAGCTCATATGTCACTCACCAACCATTTGATCCATTTTATTAAAAAAACAAAAACAAAAACAATTATTTGAAAATGTTTTTTTGGGCACTTTTTTCCTTCACATGGCCAGTCACAGTGAGAGAGAGAGAGCTAGAGAGAGAGACAGGAGAGTCAGGGGGAGAGGGGATGACATGTAGAAAAAGGGCCATAGGTCAGACCCCTAACCCAGGCTGCTGCGTTGCTGACCAACCCTTTGTGGTCTGCGCTCAACCAGAAAATGTTATCTCACCTAGGTCTAGCATCACCTGACACACTCACACACAAAACCTACCGTGACAGCGTCTGTGTTTGGGTTCAGGCTATCCAGCTTGGTTGGAGCTGTGGTCCCAGGTGCTGCTGCCAGGCGATGCTTTGGTACAGTCTTGTTCAACACGTAGGCTGCTGGATTGTGCTGTTTTACCCCCTGCAGGGTAAATTTGATGGGGTTCAGAAATGGGGTAAGACAAAAAGATCAGTAATAAAAGACAAATGACTTCTATATGTTTTATCACTTTATGCAAACCTTATGCATGTTGCAGTGCTGCGGCCCCTGGGTGGGTGGTGATCCAGCTCCCTGGCTCCCTGAGCTGTGCTCCTGCTGCTGAAGCCCTGTGGTGTTGGCGCCGGGCTCACGGTGCCAGTACACACGGATGAAGCGGTTATTGAGGACCGCCTCTGTGCTGGATATGGCCCGTCTGGCCTCTTCATTCTTTGTGTACTGAATCAACGCTGCCTCTGGATCTCCGCCAAACACAACCTGGATTGAGAGTAGAGTGTTCGAGTCAGGTATAAGTATACAATGACACAATGTATTTAACATGCTGTTTTCTAACATTCACATTTTATGATGTTTAAAAGGCTCCATATTAGTCTTCACTCTGTATATCCTTACTAGTCATTTCTCAAGTTATGTTGAGTGTAAAAGAGTATGTGAGCCGGATATAGTAAATGTGATGCCTTTTGTGATGCCTACGCTTGTTAGTGACAACTGTAGACCATTGCAGGTTTGTTTAGTGCAGAGGAGCCAGTGAAGCATTTTACCTGTATATTGACAATGGTTCCAAACTTGCTGAAGTGCTCATTGAGCTTGGTGATATTGTTGAGATCCCGAGGGATCTTGCGCACTTCCAGCTTGGTGTTCACATAGTGATTCCTCTTGGGAAAACTGCTCTTATGTTGGTTGTTAAAGTTTGGCCTGAAACAGAGAGAAATAGAGTGTGTATGTTTGCCAAGGTATTTTTTCAGGGGAAAATACTGGAAAAAGAAGAAAAGCTAAATCAATGTTTTAGGCAAGTTCCTAACGATGATAGTGAAACGGAACCCATATTGATGACCTGGAGGTTCAAGCCTTCATACTGAATTCCTACAGGCCATATAACAGTTGTATGCTAAAAATGGGACGGCTCAAGGTGGATTACGGGAATGTTTGCGTGTACCTGGTGACCACAACTGAGACAAAAGATCAGCTCCTGACCTATGAGTCACCTAGCAGTAACGGGAAATGGGGCAAGGCACCAATTTGTTTCAATGCCAACTAGTTTCTTCAAATTTCTTAACAAAACAAGGACCTGTTCAGTGAAGGTATTAGGTGTCTATTATCACCTTGAGTTTCCAGGCCATTAAGGCACTGCTAACATGTCCAGAGGACGAAAAGAACCAGTTCAAAGCTCTCATCTTAATTCCAAAAACAATAATCAGTTACTGGTTCTGTATGTAAACAAATGTTCTTAGCGCCATTTTTGGTGCTTTGTTTTCTTTCATTGCAGTGGCTTAATGTCCTGGCAAGTGAAAACAATCTTGCATGACACAACAGTTTCTTTAGTTTCAAATAGTAGCACTTCAGTTTTCTTTCTGTGGGCTTGTGTGACTGGATCCTTGGACATAATACTGATGCAGTACAGACTACATGCAATCCTAGATTAAGATTTTTCCTTACAGGCAGGAGTTTTTTTCCCTGTCAAATTTTAATTTATCATTTTGAAAGGAAACTTTTCAAATGTGTGCGCATCACTGAATCCTTACTTTTCCATCCAGGGTTTTTTAGCTGCTGGTCCCTCAGCTGTACTGTGTCCCATGGTTCTCTTCCTGCTGTCCTGCTCTGTGTTGAAGCGGGACACGTTACCTCCAGGAGTGCTGGCTACAGTGGCTGGCTCTGTCTGGATCACTATGTTTGCAGCTGCAAGATGCACACACGGGCACAAACACAAAGAAAACTTAAAAATTATGAGTTTTGGCATGAGGAGAAAACCTTTCCATTGATTACACATGCACCAGTCCAGTAAAGTAGGAAAAACATGAGCACTAAGAAGTGAAATACTTGCTACCTCTGGAGCCTTGTCCTTCGCTGGAGGTGAGGCCAATGAGGTTGGAGCGCTGGGTCTGCACCCGGGGAATGAACTGACGGTACTGGTTACGACCTGCTGTAGTCAGCCCTGGGGATTCTGGGTTGTAGCCCTCTGGATCATAGTTATCTAATGTGTAATCATGAACACACACACACACACACACACACACACACACACACACACACACACACACACACACACACAGAGGCTGTTACTTGGAATATGAAATAAACATGAAAATGTGAAAAAACTAACTAAATACACAACGCAGAACATGAAGTTACACAGTGAAAACAAGCAGTCCTACATAAATAAATGAATAAATAAACAAACGGTGTCTGGCGATCAAGCCTTATCTTTCACACAACAATCTGGTAGAAATTTCATGAGTTTAACCTGTGACTTTCTATGTTAAATAAAACTCTGACGAGTAATAAAAAAATATGTAATACTGACAAAAAATATTTAAAAAAACGCACATATGAAGAAAATAAATCAAAGTACAATTATACTAATTGAAAAAAAAAAATCATAAGATGATAAACAAGATAAAACACTGTAAGATGTGTTATATTAATATATTAGTAATATCATGTTAATATTTATACTGAGCCAAAGCTTAGTGTAACACAAAGGCAAAATTGAAAAAAATGGGACCTTTCATGACAATTGTAATTTTAGCTGTCAGAGTTGAATTAAAGTAAAAATCTGATTTTGCAATAAAATCAAAATAGACCTCTTCTGCTCTTCTGTTTAACTGGAAGTATCCATGAGCAAAATTAAGGCAAAAGCAGTCTGCAAAATTAGGTGCAGTAGAGTTGTTAATTGCTCAAAGCTACTTTGTCTCTTAGGTAAATAAACAGTGCTACCCACTGGTCAACAGCTGTTACTGCTGCCAAAAGAAATACATGGACATCACACGGTGCATATACTACAACATCACACAAAAACCAACTTAAAATGACAGAAAACAGACACACAGCTCTCATTCACATGGCTATTATAGTTCTGATTTCAGCCCGATCTACTGTAATTATAAACTGAACACAAAGGAAAACTCAAATAGCAGGAAATAAAATGAGCACAATTATCAATATAAGGAAAACTCAAATGAAAAGCCACAGCAATGTTGCTTCCAAACACACAGTCCCAATCTGAATAGGAAAAGCATTGCTGCTTACATTCAGACTGCACATATTGGGGACGAAGAGACACAGACGAGGATGAAGGAGGAGGAGGTGGAGGAGGAGGAGGAGGAGGAGGAAGAGTAGGTGGCATCCCCACGCCAGGCGGTCCAATAGGAGGAGAAGAAGTGATTGCAGATTGGTGGTTGGGGGTATCAATCCCACTGGTTGCTATCAGTGGGGGTCCTGAGGGAGACACAAGCCCAAGCTAATGTCTCATGTATATCGCAGGTATGACAGTGAAACTTTTTTTCGTGCTACACTGGTTGTTTTAATATGACAGTGAAGGTGGCAGGAAGTGGAAACAGACTATATATTTCACATCTAATTTATAGCAAATCAGAAAAAAAAAATATTCAGACAGAGCACCACTTCAAGAACCAGTATAAATCAAAGCAACGGGAAGAATAAGCCACAAACAGACTGCAGGGTTTAAATCACTATCAGCTTTCCTTTTAAAAAATGTGAAATATCAGTTTGCTCACCAACTCCTGTTCATGCAGCAAGAATAAAACAAGTATATCTTAAAACTTCCAGCAATTAGTACTACTATTAGTATGCAGGAAGAAAGGTAAATGCATAATTTAGGAATTTTGACTGAAGCTGTCATTGGTTATTACATAACAAGATAACAGTTCATGGTCAAAATTAAAATGCACAAAAGAGAACTAAAGAAAATATCAACAGTCCTTCCTTTCTCAAAACACAAAATGCTCCTACAAACCATTAGTTAGGAATATACTGATTTCTTAAAACACATCTGAAAAATAAAACTATTTGAAACTATCAGCTGTTCAATGAGTAGCCTATAGTGTTAGGTTATAGTACAGTACCAACAGTTTTTCTCTCTGACTTACATTTTGCCTCCAAATTTAAAATCCATCTCCATCATGCTGAGTGACCATTTTAGAAATTTCACACAACATAATAATAAAGAGCAAACATAAGATGCTCAGTAAGTGTGGTGCTGAAAGGCAGGATGGTGTGTAAGACTGGCCCAGAGACGGAGCTGTATCATGAAAAACTATTTTCTTTCACCAGGTACATACAAGACAGAAATGAAAAAGGGGTTGCAAAGAAAGAACTACTGAAATTCTGTCATTAAAATCAATCATATACTCTGATCCCTGTGCATAAAATAAAAGAATAATCTGAAATAATATAAAATAATCTATCAAATCTATCATTACAAGACCTGAACATAAGTGACTGGAAATGTACTTCTCCAAAAATAAAAAATGCCCATTTTGAGAAATTGATAAGTGGCGCAAATGTGTATCAGGGCAAACAAATGCTTAGTAGGACTATAACAGACTGTTCTTTCCACTAGCTGCAGTGGTTCTAGAAGTTAAAATTTATGCAACAATGTGGGGGCACCACTTACCAGGCATGGGGAAGACGCCCGGTGGCGGTGGCTGGCCATAAGGTGGCATCGAAGGCATCCTGAGGGAAGGCGGGGGCTCGGTGATTGGGGGCATGGGCAGGCCGGCGGGGGGCATAACAGGTGGAGGCGGGAATGGGATCATATTTGGTAGATTTACATCATCCACAATGAGAGGGTCATTGCCGTGGTCGAATGGACAAAGGTCCCCACGAACACAAAATCCTTTTTCTGTGGGGAAAAACAAACGCTGATTACTTTTTATTCTTGCATATTGACTTGTATAGTAGCCTATGATTCAGTGGGTGTCAACATCATAAATCAAACCCAATGTTGTACCCCAAGTTCATTAGATCCATGTTGTGCAGTGTGCCTTGCAATAAACTTACAAGATTGCTATAATCTTACAGTTTGCAGACACCATAAGGGATTTGGGCTCCTGGTGGTCAAATTAAGTACAGTACAGATTCTAACAATTTTCATATATATATATATATATATGAAAATATAAAAGAAAAAAACAAAAAAGCAATGGGAGTCCAAGCTCAAAGCAGCTAAGACGTACAGTGCATGTATTTACCCCTAAGTCTCATTAAGGCTCTGGGTCCTCAGTGGGTGTGTTTGAGCACTGTGATAGATCACAGTGTGCTTCAGGGACAGTGGTTAAGTTTAAACCCTCTTGTGTCTCTGTGATGAGTTGGGTGCAAGCTTGCTTGCTTTTCTGCTTTTCACTGGGGACAAGAGATGGAGTGCTAAACAGTGGTCATTAGTGATGAGACTAAACAAGGCAATCAATAACCCTCATGGGAAGATGGAGACAGAGGTAGCCAGAGCAAATCTTATAATGTACATGTCATATACTAGACAAAAAGGCTCAACGTCGACATTTTCTTTCTATTTGAAAAAAAGCTGCATCTTTTACAGATGCCAGATAATATCTTCCTAATGCTGCAGCTGAATAGTGCAAATTACTATTGGGCCATAACAGATGAAAGACCCAAAGATGGAGGAAGGAATGTTAATAAGAAGAGAATAACTGATAGACAGCAAGTATCAAAGGTAAGGAGGAAAAGATTAATCACTCATTCTTACCATCATAATCCCTGCAACGCTGTTTGAGTGAAGCGGGCTTGTTGCTGAATGGTTTCCCGACACCATCTTGCCTCTGGGTGCCATAGTAGCCCGACCAGCTGTCTGTGGTGCTATCGGGCAGGTGAGCCAGTGTTGCTATAGGAACACCTCCAGCTCCTGAGACTCCAGCGGATGATGAGGAAGAGGAGGAAAAAGGGTGTGGAGGTGTGGGCAGGGGCAGGAGAGGCGGCGGGTGCTGCTGCTGCTGCTGCTGCTGCTGGGAGCCGGATGTGGTTGAAGAGTTGTAGCCATCTGTATCCTTTCTTTCCACCTCAAACTTTGACTTAAAGTCTGTAAGAAAAGAAGAAATATACAGGTATTTTAACAAAATACAAATAAAACATTACAGGAAAGTAGTGAACCCCTTTAAGCATTACACTTTTTAAAAACAGCTACTCCTCTCATCATGCCACACATTTAGAGATGTAGATTAACCTTGAGGGTAATACGGCCAATTCCAGCCCGTGCTGTTGAATCCCCATTGATGTATTTGCAAAGCTGTCCACATTCTTCCTTATCGATAACAACTCCCAGCAACACTGACCAACAATCCAACGCGGCTACATCCAAATCTCCATTCAGTGCCCTCTCAATGAGCAAAAAGCACCTCACACCCAAGAACCCTCCAGCAGCACCTCTGCATCACTAATGCACAGTTCAGTTGCACTGACGGGAGCCTAAGGAACTTCAATACCCCTGAGTCTGGTCCCCTGTGCTGTTTTGTTATTGGTTGTAGAGGCTGGGGTGCAGAGGGGAACTTTCTCACCTCTACCTCCTCTGTGCTCCCTGTCCCTGCTCTTTCCTCGGCTGCCACTCCTGCTCCGGCTGCGGCTGTAGCTCCTCCCGCGGGGGCTGCCCCTGCGACGCTCGTGCCGCTCCCGCTCACGATGGGAGTCACTGCTGCTTTTCCCGTGTCGATCGAAGTCACGGCGCTTGCGCTCGTCTCGCCTCCTGTCATCGCGGCTCCTAGAGGGAATACATTTGAGTTACTGTCTTTATGCTGGTTTTAAATGCAAGAGTCAGACAGACTTATCCCAGCAGGCTCTGTCAGGATGGAAGCTTAAACAGACTAAGACAAGTATGGGTCTTAATGGCGATCAAATAAGGATACATGGATCATATTTTAATATGTATCTATTAATATGCACCTTGAAATCTGTTCTCAAGCAGTGGCCTTTATCTAACTGTACAGAGGAGAGAACTGGGCTGTTAGTTGTGACACGTAGTTATTAGAGAGAGGTTTTAACCCCTAGTGATTTCCCTTGTTTTATAAGAATATTTTGATCATATTTTAGTAAAAAGCCTCCCTTCTTTCTGAACGGCTCCAATGCACTGTGTTAATTTACTCCTGCTGCTTACCGTTAACAAAACTTTTTTTCCCATCTACGTTACACTAAAGCTATTAAAGTATTTCTGGGGGCATAATCCCCTTCTTCCCCTGAAAGGCTGTTAGTGTTTAAGATCTACAGGAAGTGTTGAGTTTCACTAACAACAGCTTTTACACAGTGAAGTGAACCAGTGTTTTCATCAAGCTAAAAGCAGGACCCATTGGATTTGAAACTAACCATGCAAATGTATCCACGTTACCATCTCTACACAACTAGACCATGCAAAATGATGGGTTTTCATCAGCAGTAAGAAAGGAAGGGTCCTGTGTATTGGACATTTCAACATTAAGCAAGAATGTAAATGCTGTATATCTCACATGTAAGAATAATATCTGCATATGCCCCATGCTTGGTCATTAAGCTGAGCTGAGACAAACAAATCCCTGAAGCCACAGCCATACCTGGACTCGTTGAAGTCGGAGCGGTTTCTCAGAGGACTTCTCCTCCACCTGTTTTCTCTCTCCTCCTCTGGAGTTTCAGCCTTAAGGGAAAAAGAAATAGTTACGACTTAAACTCTTCTCTATTTTATGTTTAGAAAATAGAAAGAGATTTAAAGATACTAAGACCTGATCAAAAAAACATTTTGTTCTCAGTCTGGAGAGCTTATTGGTTATAATGTCAAGGTACATGAATAACTGCTGTCTAATAACACATTGAGATAGTCATCAAATCCTTTCATCCAAACAGAGTGCCTATTTTTGTGCTATGCTCAACCTGCTTATCTACAAAACCACTTGAAAGATGCTTTAATATGTGACCACAGGCAGGCTATTTATTTTCAGAGTCCAAACATTTCTCAGATACTTTACTCACCTCCACAACATCAGATTTGACTGCAGGTGGTTTGACCTCCTCTTTAGGAGCCTCCTTGGCAGCAGGATTTCCCAGGTAGTTCTTGGTTGTCAGACATTCAAAAAGTTTATCGACAAATCCTGTTGTCTCTGCAATGAAAATATGATTCGTGTGAATAGATATAATCTTCAAGAGAATTGTGTACAGTTTTGCACATTATCCCTCAAAGAGCAAATTGGTCCTCTGGCATGAAATGTACTGACATTCCTCCAGAAACACACCACACACACTACATATTCCTTGCTCCTGGCTGCATTAAATTTTTCTAAAGTAAAATTAACTCCAAATGAATAACAAAAACAGAAACAGCACATGGACAAAATTGGGGAAAACTACTTGATAAATATATTACATAATAAAAAATGAAATAAAGGAGCTAATGCCAAGTGAAAGTACATTCAATTAGGTATTTGGACCCATTTATTTGACAGCAATCTTTAAGTATGTTATTCTAAAGACTACAGGTTGTGATAGTTAAGTTCTGACAGCCTGAACTAAAACTCAGGTGTTAACATAAACTGTTGTTTTAACACCCATAATTTTCAACATGAGATAAATAAATTGCGAAGACGTGTATTCATGACCAACCCTATCGACCCCCTGTAAATACATTATTGTCCATACCATACAAGGACAGACAGTAAAACTTAACCCAGGCAAGCAAGTTGATGCTTCATGTAATACAGCAGGCTGTTAAGAGTGCATTTAAATGATATGACACGCCCTCTAGTGGTGTGATGATCTAGATGGTGATAATGTATAGCTGGCTGCATCTCTGAATGTATAACCTTGAGCTTATGATCTGGAAGGAATTTTAAAAGCCACTGTTAATTTTTGTGCATTTTGACCATCTCAGTGTTTTTACATCTGATGCTCCACTAACATGATGTCTGCTTGTAGAATGTAAACAACATATAGTGGCAGACTGGCTAAGTATCACTACCCCTTGGTAGCACATATGATTTCTGGACTACTGGACCACTGGGGCTACTGGTGAGTCATTGAGTATCTTTGTTAAAAAGTTAAATACTTAGTGCTTTGGTAAATGAGTTCTATTTAGTTTATTCTGTTGGACTTTATTGGAACTGATTTTTTTCAAGCAACAACATGTAGTGTTTTGAGATAAAGGCTGACACTTGTCACTTTGGTTTGTGTCAGTTTAGAAGAAAGTCCATATTTTTTATGCTTCTGCATGAACATTCTTCCATAATAAACTAAAAAAGAAAAATAAATAAATCTTGCTTTGTTTAAGATCAACCTGCTCCGTCTGTAACTCTTTTTCTAACATGATCCTTGTCAATTTGGCCATTATTTGGAAATAACAATTTCACTGAAGGACCTCCACAGTGCCACCGGCTGGAGCTCCAAGTGGATTTGTGACATAACTGCTAAGCCTCTATTGTCTGTGGGATGTATGAGGAGAGTAAGATGAATGCTGTTCCCTTGTTTGGTGAATGGTGGAAATGACTGCTGCAGGGAAAACTTCTGCACAGCTTTACTGACCAGCAAGAGCTAGAGTCTACACCAAAAATGCATGTTGCACTCATAGGCGAAAATTCCTTGTGTAGAGTCCATACCTTTTTGTAGGAAGACATCAAGCTGATCAGCACAAAGTGCTTTCAGCTCCTTCTCTGGTTTGTCCTTCTTCACAAGAGCAACCACATAGTTGGCTAATGCAGACGGGTCAGCATCACATCTGAAGGTTAGAATATGTCTTGTCAACATCAGCCAGTGAGTAACTTGATTTAACATTACAATGCAAAAGGAAAAAGCAATGATGGCTTTGTCAAATTGTTTAAAGAGAGAAATAGGGGAGACAAAACTGAGAGAGAAAAATTGAATTCAATTCCATAATTAAACCAAATGCAATATACTGTATGCCAGTGATGTGTCAGTGTCCAACTATCCATGCATGTAGAAATTTTCTAAATGAACCTAATTATTGTCAGTGCCAAGTGAAACCAACAACGCCTGCAGGGCAGAACATCACTGCAAAAAGTGAAAAGTAGATTCCAAACTTTTAACCCAAGAGAAAGAAAGCTTTCCAAACATATACCACTCTTATCAAACTATTTGATAGCAGATCATGGTAGAAATCCTCTCAGCCAGAAAGTGGTGGGGCTATCACATATTACTAACATTACAAACACACAAAGCCCCAGGAAAGCACTTTTGACAACTCCAAACCAAACATAACTAACTACATAGCAGCTATTGTCTAAATTGGATCAAACTGTTATCCCATTTCCCTGTCATTTGACCTGAAACAACCAAATGGGTTGTTAGTGTGGTAGAGCCTGATAAAATAACAGAAAAAAACACTAACCAGGCAAACACTGCTTAATCACAAATTAGCATTTGAAAAGAAAAAACAGGCATTGCAAATAGGGCTGCCCTAAAGGCTTTGTTACAAATCAGACATTCATGAGCTTGCAACTACTTGAATACTGTAAAAGATGTCTGTGGAAATCTTTTGTAACTTAAAGCCATTGCATCAAGATTCAACTAACTGCTAGACACCAAATGAAGCAAGCCATGGCATACTAGCAACCTAGCAATACTTCCAAGAGCATACCATAATATGCAAGACAGTGGGTGACTGCTACTGCATCACCTGTTTACTAGAGCCTATGTAACACCATCCACCCCTCTACACACCAATTCTTCTTAAATGGCTCTGTTAAATATTTAAATCCGTCAACTCATTTATGTGCGTTCTTTGGCAACATCTGCTTCCACTTGTAATTACATAATTTGATGATTCTATGTCTGAAAGAGAGGAAGAAAGACTGATTGTAACAAATGTAACTCCTAGAGCAAACGATTCTTATTTATTTTTAAAACACATGACAAACCAGAACTCAGTAACGTAAGCTATATATACACATATAGTCCAACAGCTAGCTATTTAAATCACAAGTAGCACCATGTAAGTAAGGTTATCTGTTCCAGTTTGCTGGCTTGCTACAGAGCTGTGATAAAGTTACATTATCGTGAGCCAACTACGTGCCTAACTAACCCAAAATAACAGCGCAACAAACACAGACAAACATACTACATTGTGTGCACATTTAATTTATTTAGTTAATGAAAAGTCCCGCTGTCTCTCTTTGCTATGAAAAGGCCAGCTAGCGGCAATGGTGGCTCGCTAACTCGTGCAAGAATCTGCCATTAGTTTCTAGCAAGTCCCCATTGATGCAAGGCTAACCCGCTGGCTAGCCAGCTAGCGTAGCTACGTAGCATGCGAGCTAAATGTCATTTCAATTCAACACTCACATTGGCTCCAGGAGTTTTGCCAGCCATGACTTCAAGGCTTCCACATTCTCTATAATCATCGTGAGAAAGACTATAACACTGTCTATAAAATGAAAGTGCGTTTTGATAACCCTTCTCTCATCATCTATAAATTTATAAGCTTTCAGGCCTCCTGTCTCTCTTCACTGGCAGGTCGGACAAAGTGTTTTACGACATGGCAACAGAAGGCGAGCTGTCGTAACGCAAGCCTGACGACGGACGTTATAATCATACCGTGTCCTTATTTAGCCACAATTCATTGAATTCATATAAACGGGCTCATAGTTGTGTATTAAAAATTTTATGGTTGACCAAAGCATTATTACACAAATAAATGTTTTAATTTGTGTAATAATGAACGATGCGACGCTTGTAAAGTTTTACGGACTACATTTCCCAGAAAACCATACGAGAGCGTGATAGTGGGTGTCGTCAGCCAGGCACCGGTGGCGTGGGTTTCCCTTGTCAAAGTGGAAACTGTTTCTGCTGTTTAAACTACAAAATAGTGGATTGCTGGTAATTTAGGTCAAAATGACGGTAAGTCAAATGCTGTAATTATCTGCAGTTTAGAGTGGTTAATGTGGATTTAGAGGCAGTGGATACGTTATATCACTATATTAAATTAATGTAGCTATTAGCTAACTTAGCTAACAAGCTAGTTGTCGAGACAGCTGCATAAGTAGACTTGGAAGAAATCTGACTCAGCTGGACCTGAGATTTTATTGTTAAAAACGTGTTTACCATTATTTTCTGTCATTTTCTGTTTTATTCTCGTGTATGAACAGTTCCCTTAAAATATGTGGGGGGTTTTTTGTATTGGAATTTGTTTTGAGTTCACTTGCAGCTATCACTGTGCTGTCTTTTCGCTCATATTGCTCGTAATGTAATCCAGGAGCGGAAAGGAACAGCGAAGTTGGACTTTCTGAGGAAGATTGAGCTTGAAATCCAGGAGAAATGGGAGAAGGAGAAAGCATTTGAGCATGATGCCCCCACAACAATTGGGGAAAGCACAAAGTGAGTAGCTGCCTAATGTTGTTGTAATGAAGAGGAACCCTATGTTCTGTTTAGAGGAGTTTTACTCTGTTTCACACACTTGAACCATGAATAGTCCTGTATGCAGTTGTAAGACGGGTGGTGAAAGTATTGTACTCTGGAATGCCAGTACAGTTTCTGCAGGTCTACTTCCTCTTACTGATCTCTCCCTGATGCAACTATGAAAAAAGCAAATTATGTATATGTAATTTCGTAGTTATGTTATGTAGTTATATATGTTGATGGTGTTGAATAAACAAGCTGCGCAAGTGTGGGTAAAGCTCTGATGTTTAGTTGTGTGGTGCAGAGTGAGCCTTTGTTGTTGGCCTGTGTTATTTCCCATATCATGGCACCTTGCCTGGAAAAAATATGCCAGACATCAAATCCTTTTGGTCTTAAATACATATATGGATTGATCATTTCTTTTTCCTTCCAGCAAAAATAAGTACTTTGTCACCTTCCCCTACCCATATATGAATGGTCGATTGCACCTTGGCCATACATTCAGCTTGTCAAAGTGTGAGGTAATTTTGCATACATACACAGATGAACATTGAGAAATGAACTTTGTCTGTCTGCACCTATGACAGATACTTGAGGTGCAGATATTCAGCTTATAGTCACTGGTCTCTGAGTTGCTGCTGTTAAACTTTTTTCTTGCAGTTTGGCATTGGTTATCAGTCTCTGCGAGGCAAGAAGTGCCTCTTCCCCTTTGGGCTGCACTGCACAGGAATGCCAATCAAAGTGAGTGTTGGTTTTTTTTCAGTCCCATAAGTGTTGATTGTGTAATTGAAATGACATAGAAGTATGATAACTGGTAATAAAACAACAACAATCTTCCCACTTTTCATTCAACAAACACAATATGCAGGTTGTCACCAACTGCCTTATCTTCTAAATGTCTCTGCACAGTGAATGGACACAAAATGTGCTTTTACTGATATTCTACTGCTAATAATTCCCTGTCTTTAAGGGGACAGGGAACACCTGACTTTTTCCTCTTTCTGGTATTCATACATCCATATTGTATCCACCAGGCCTGTGCAGACAAGCTGAAGAGAGAGATGGAGCTCTATGGAAACCCTCCACAGTTTCCAGACGAGGAGGAAGAAGAGAAGGAGAAGCCAAAGACATCTGATGAAATCATCATCAAGGACAAAGCAAAGGGCAAGAAGGTCAGGATCTCAGGGACCAGATGGGTGTCATTTTCCACATTGGGAAGAAAAAACACTAATTTAGTGTATTGTTTGTCAATAACAACTAGAGCTTGCTTTTTTCTAAAAAGAAAGTACTTTATTTTATTTTTTTAGGTTAACAATTGGATACTAATCAAAAACGCAATCTGTAGTTTAAACCATATGTAGTTCACCCATGTGTTTATATATTGTAAGTAACAAAAAAAATCACGAGTAAACGGTTGAGTGTCTTTTTTTCACTCCTAATTTGGGAACATGAAATTGGTGGAGATGATCTGTTCCTTTTAAAAATCTGGGTATTTGATAATAAGACCAATTAACAACATTACCTGTCTCTATATGAATTGTATGAGATTGAGTTAACATTAGTATCTAACCTATTGGATATGGGGCATTATTTTTTTTAACATGTCAGTAACTCTTTCTTTTTCCTCTATTAGAGTAAAGCAATGGCCAAAGCTGGATCCTCCACTTTCCAGTGGGACATTATGAGGTCTTTGGGCCTAAATGACAAGGAGATTGCCAGCTTTGCCAATGCTGAACACTGGCTGGAATACTTCCCTCCTCTGGCTGTTAAAGACCTCAAACAGATGGGTGTAAAGGTGACTAAATATAATAATCTAACACAAGCAAACTACTGTCTCTTTCTGTTTTGAATCTGCCTGTATCTGACCCTTTTATACAGTAGAATACGCAAGTAAGTGTATGTTTAAATTCACATTATTTTAAGGAGTGAAATATGGTCAGCTATTGAGCCATCATGGAGCTAAATTAAACATCTGTGTTAAGAGACACACACTAGATAATCCTAGTGACATGCACATAGTGATGTTTTTTTTTGATACCTAAGGTAGAATCACCAGGATTTATTGACCCTAAGAATAATTAGATCAAGAAATTCAATTGAAACCAATTGTGCCTAAATCCTGGTGTCATGTTATCACCTCACAGGTGGACTGGAGGCGTTCATTCATCACCACAGATGTGAACCCCTTCTACGACTCCTTTGTCAGGTGGCAGTTTGTCACACTGAAGGAGAGAAAAAAGATCAAGTTTGGCAAAAGGTGAGATGGTTTCTAAAAAAAAAACTGTTTTGCTGGTGCTGTGGCACTATCATTCTCATGCTATAGGGAACACTGAAGTAGGAACATTTTATCTTTGTAGCTGTCACCATCTATTAAACTGTATGAGATAACTGTACCAGTGTACTTTCGTTTCACTGGTTAAAAGCAAAAGCAAGCAGAAAATTTTAAAATAAAGACATTAGTAGATAATTGACCTTATAGCAGTTTAATTTGATTTTGCAGTATTCATGTTCTTTTAGTTGTATAATGTCACTGTCCTTGACTCCTCTGCAGGTATACCATCTACTCCCCCAAGGATGGGCAGCCATGCATGGACCATGACAGGCAGACAGGAGAGGTACACTCACCTGGCTCAATGAAATAGTATATTAGTTGTGGAAAAACAAAACTGCAACATGCTTATAATCAATGGTGTGTCCCATAACTATGTAGTGGGTCTATATTTGAAATTATACTGAAAATTTTACCGAAAATACACCACACTACCTTACATCTCGCTTTCAAAACACTGTGATCAATAGTGGGGATGAAGCAAATTCTGCATGTCGAATTTTGGAAATGTTTCTTTTACCAATGTTTGCACAAAATCTTACAATATCTGAAAAAACTACGAAATCCTATAGACCTGTCTCTCAATTTGAGTTTGGGCTGATCTGAGAGCTGTTTTTACTTCTTTTTCTTCCATCTAACATTTTTCACTCACCTGCAGGGAGTTGGACCTCAGGAGTACACGCTCATCAAGATGAAGATAATTGAGCCGTACACAGCAAAATTCAAATCTAAAGTCTTTTACAGCAGGTAACAAATTACAAACACCTAGCTCTTTACTGCCAATAACTCTGACTGGAGAAGATTACTACTGCACAAGTTTAAATTGCACTTAAGTGTGGTTCTGATATCAATAAACACAGTGCTACTAACTCGTGATTTAAGACAGAAGTAAAGTGTTGATGCTGTCCTCCCCACAGCGGCATGAAAGGTAAAAACATCTTCCTGGTGGCTGCCACTCTGAGACCAGAGACCATGTTCGGTCAGACCAACTGCTGGGTGAGGCCCGACATGAAGTATGTCGCCTTTGAGACAACGAGTGGAGACATCTTCATCTGCACCAATCGGTCTGCTAGGAACATGTCTTACCAGGGATTCACCAAAGAGAATGGAGTGGTGCCAGTGATCATGGAAATACTGGGACAGGTACTAACTCTTTATTCAGTTCAAGCCAGTGGTATCAGGCAAACGCTGTTATCTGATATGTTATAAAAAGGGGAAACCAGTTTTTCAAGTTGACTGGGTAAATTTTCATGGCTATGGCATGAACAAGCTGCAGAACTTCCTTTAAAGTGGTTATAATTTATTTTTTTTTTAATAAGAATCTATCAAATGGCAATGTGAACAGTATGCTACAATGGGAAAGGGGTCGCTCATAGCGATGAACCTACTTGATGTTTTAATCTGCAGCTTGATGTGTAAATAAGCAATGCTGTGCTCACATCTTGTTTCTGCTGCCTCCAAGTGGCCAAAATTTCAGTTATTGAAAAAATTTGCAGGGATGTCTGTTGTACCTATTACTTCAAAACAGAAATAAGTCATCCAAAATTTCTAAATTTCTAAGCAGGATCAGGTCGGCTGGATATATATAAGTATGCAACAAATCAGGCTCTCCATTATTTTTTCCTCTTTGTAGGATATCCTTGGCAGTGCCCTGAGTGCTCCTCTGACGTCCTATAAGGTTATCTACGCTCTGCCCATGCTCACCATCAAGGAGGACAAAGGTATGAATCAAGACATTGGGTAAAAATAGCATAGAGATGGATTCATCTAGAGAGGTTGTGTTGATAGGTTTGCTTTAAATGGTTCTGTAAAGCAGAATAACGTCACTTTGGTTAAAGTGCTGTAGTTGTTGAAAGGATTCTTTGCCAGTGCGTTGCTCTCTTTTCTTAAGTGCCAACTTGAACTTAAGCTGAATACATTTGCTGAATAGCCCAACAAAAACTCTTGAAATGTGTCAATATGTTTATATCTTGCTTTCAAATAAAGATAATTTATTCTAGCTCTTGTTCCTTTAGGTAATACTTTATGCACTGAACCTCATCCCTTATTCCCCCTTGTCTTATCATATTCTTGGTGGGGTGTATGGAAAAATACTCAGGAGTCTCAAAATAGCAGGCCAAGGTTAACACAGAATTTATGTGTTGTGCTGTGATGTCAGGGGATGGAACTAATGGCTGCTGTTTTGGCCTGAGGGAGGACATTTGTAAGCATATAAAATTGATATAATTGTGCGCAGAGTTCCTCTGTTTTCTGAGAAGTCAGTACTACCTATCTTTCTGGTCCGTTGTACTTGATGGGTGCAGTTTCTCTGTTTGTATTCATGTGTCTTGTTGCTGATTTTTTTGTAAATAGCCTTAATTGGAATTTCTTAAAGACTAAGCTGAAATGTCAGAATTTCATTAAGAATAAATCTCTCATGCACCAGTGTGTCATACTGTCTTTAAGGGATATGAAAAGCAATGAGCGAAGGTGAATCTCGGTCGACATTTATCATTTTCCAGATCAGGTTTATTTGTTCTTGTCAGTTTGTGAGTTGCTTTAGTGCAGCTGCTCGGCAGTTGTAGAAATGTGGTGGCAATGGACATTTGATAGCTTTTAATTTGTATAATGTAAATTACAGCATTACTGAGAAACATAACGACCTGATTTGCATGAATAAATTTTATGTGTTGGCCTTTGCCTTGTCTGCATCTTCCTCAGGTACTGGAGTAGTTACCAGTGTTCCTTCTGACGCTCCTGATGACATCGCCGCTCTCAGGGACATCAAGAAAAAGCAGGTGAGGTTGCAGACCTGTAACTTCATTCCGACCATGCTGCCATCCAGGGAGGCTTTGTACCTCAAACAGAACCTAAATGAAACTTCTAATGCAATTTGGAAATGAATCTAATTAAATGTTTTAACAGATTGTGCTCTTAGAATAGTCTGCCGTGCTATTTGCTTAAATTCAGGTTGACTAAACCCCTTGTTCCTGAGCAGAAAATGCATCCATTTAAAGATACATGCATTATTTAAGCACAGACCTTTTAAATTTTATTAATGCCTCTGTTAATACTTGTGTTTCCTAAAAGGCTCTGCGAGAGAAGTATGGTATTGAGGACAAGATGGTGTTGCCTTTTGAGCCGGTAAGCTGATCTGCTAAAGTCAGTTTGATTTCATTCAGGTTCCCATTGAACACATCCGTTGTTGTAAAGAAGACACAAATGTGAAAAGAAAATTCAGTCTTGAGTCGCTAAATGCATCTTTAATGTGTGTGTGCACATGTCAGGTCCCTATCATAGAGATCCCAGGCTACGGGAACCTGTCGGCTCCTCTGGTGTGTGATGAGCTGAAAATCCAGAGCCAGAATGACAAAGAGAAGCTGGCTGAGGCCAAGGAGAAAGTCTACCTGAAAGGATTTTATGAAGGGGTGAGTCGACTTAGTGGTTAATGAGCAAAAAAAAAAAAAAAAAGGTACATAAGCCAGCAAAATACAGGCCGTCTGCAAACCCCCTGTGGATTCAACTCAAGGTTTGAAGCTCATATGATTTATCTTCCAGACACAAACCAAGGGATTGTCACCTTAAGGCTAGACTAAATTATTCATTAGCTGGCTATTAGCTATGTTACCCTCACAAAGTTTGATTCTGTCTACTAGTGAAAATATGTGCTCTATCTGTATCCGTATGACATCCATCCGGACTTTCATTTATCTGTCACAACATTATGACATTAGTCGTGTTCAAATTTACAAAGTCAGCTGCTTTCACTTTCAGTAGACTGTGCCGACATTTAAGTTCTTCTTTCTTTAAGATGTACGGTCTGCAAAGGGCAATGCAGCAGCGCACCAAGCAGAGCACATTTCATATGTGTATACTGACTATGTGTCTTCACACTGAGCCGAATATGATCATTTGTGACTGGAGAATAAACTGTAGAAGCACAGCCCACTCCTTGTTGACAGAGCTGCCAGAATTGTGAGAGGAATGCATCAGTGTAAATGATATGTTCCTGTGTGTTCCTGTCTTAGATCATGCTGGTTGATGGTTACAAGGGGCAGAAGGTCCAGGATGTCAAGAAGCCCATCCAGAAGATGATGGTGGAGAAGGTGAGACATTATCTGTTTCTAATGCAGAAACAAGTAAAGTATATATAAAGTATAATAAAGATGTGCAGTTTGATTTTAATATTAATATTTTAATGATGTCGGCTCTGTGTTCACCTGTCACAGGGTGAGGCCATGATGTACATGGAGCCAGAAAAACAGGTGATGTCGCGTTCAGCTGATGAGTGTGTTGTGGCTCTCTGTGACCAGTGGTAAGTAACACAGGGTTCTCATCGTATCATGTGTTCATTAGTAATAGGAACAAATTATTTGACCTCTGGATATGAAGCTGCATGGCAGTGTTATAGAAACGGGTGGAATAATAGAAGTGATCTGAATGACTTTATTTGTTTTCTTGTAAGGCTGTATCTTTGTTAAATGGTTTCATGTTGGTCGCAAAACTTTTCATAAATGATGGACAAAATTTTTTTTTTTTTTTTTAAGAAAAAAGTCTGTATTTTCAAGTGTGAATTGATGGTCTGATGCCATTTGCCATTTAATGTGTTTTTCAGGTATTTGGACTATGGGGATGCTGAGTGGAAGCAGCAGGCCAATGAAGCGCTCAAGTCTTTGGAAACGTAAGTCAGTGACCTCGGGGGGCACTGCAAAAGTTCCTCCTTTTTGCAAATTTAATGACTTTACAGACTGTAATTAATCTGAAAAGACAAATAAGTGCATGCACTTCCTGTGTTATTGTGAAATATATGTGTAAATTTTGTCCTCTACAGATTTTGTGAAGAGACCAGGAGAAACTTTGAGGCAACTTTGGCCTGGCTGCAGGAGCATGCCTGCTCTCGTACCTACGGACTTGGTGAGTGTTTTGCTCTACTGCTATCAACTTTATCTCATTCAAAATCTTATTTCATGTATTAGGGCTAAATTAACCACCTTGCCAAAGATGAACAGGACCTAAAGGCTTCTTGAACAGGCGTATGACTGATGTTTATATGGTTATTTTAATGGTCTATAGATGGAGACAGAGGACTGATGATAGAAAGCACCCAGCAACAGTCTGCCTTTCTGCTCATACAGGAATAGATGTAGACTGAGAGCCAGTTGGCAATACAGTCCAGGCCAGTGCAGTACAGTCTAGGCCTGTTGTAAACTCCCACTGTAGAAATCTCCCCACACATTTTCAGAACATGAAGCACAAGCAGACCAGATGAACAGGCTGATATGCTGTTCAGAGATTTTATTGTAAGATGCAGGTTATGAAGATTCCTTTCATTTCTGTCTGTCTTTTGAAGTTCATCTACCTAAAGCTTGAATGTAAAGATGCAAATGAAGTGTGTTTTGATCTGTGTGATCACAGAGAAGAGTTGTGTAGGTTGTTTGTTTTTTCTTTTTCCTTACAGAAAAATCTATGAGCCATAGATAAGACTGTGCTCCAGTCACAAAGTATACAGTGTGTAACCTTAACACTTATTGGCTTTTTAAAAATAATTAAGAAATATTTTAACTTATTTATGTATTATCTGGACATCTTGTCATCACACTAAAGTAAAGAAAGTTACTTTTTATGTTTCTGATGTTAAATTCAAATGTGTGCTTGAGTACGTGCATTTATTGTTTTATGTTTTATCAAAAATTCACATTTAATCTTGGTCAGACCTCATATTATAAAAATGAATTGCTGCTCAAGCAGAAAAAAAAGAAGTCGCTGTGTCTGTAAAAACAACAGGTCCTCCACTTGTAGTTCGGTTGAGTTTAGTTTATTTGACAATGAAGATTTACATCTCGGCTTGTTTGCCGAGGATTACTCAGTAAGTCCCAGGACTTACTCCATTGTTTTAGTGTTTTTCTTGGCACCAGCTTGTAACCAGCTTGACAAGGCGGCTAATGCAACAAAAGACTGTGTCAATACAGAGGAGACAACAATTGTTTTTCTTCATAATTTTGTGTCTCTTTCAGTTTCTCTGTCATGATTATGCGTGTGTCTTTCTCTTGCTGGATTTTCTGATTTTGTGGGTGTGTGTGTGTGTGTGCGTGTGTGTGTGTGTGTGCGTGTGTGTGTGTGTGTGCGTGTGTGTGTGTGTGTGCGTGTGTGTGTGTGTGTGCGTGTGTGTGTGTGTGTGCGTGTGTGTGTGTGTGTGCGTGTGTGTGTGTGTGTGCGTGTGTGTGTGTGTGTGCGTGTGTGTGTGTGTGTGTGTGTGTGTGTCTGTATGTGTGCACATCTCCTGGTTACCATAGGAACGCGGCTGCCTTGGGATGAGCAGTGGCTGATTGAGTCTCTATCGGACTCTACCATCTACATGGCTTACTACACTGTAGCCCACCTTCTCCAGGGAGGTGTGCTCAATGGACAGGGAGCCTCACCACTGGGCATCAAGTATGGACAAACACACACACACACACACACAGATACACACCGGAATAAACAATGATTAAACCCCTAGTGATGCACTCGCTCTTTTTGCCTTCTGCTGTCGTTCTCTTTCTACCTTCAAACATGATTCACCTGAGGGAGAAAAGACTTAGATTTAATAACTGAATTAAATCATTCCAAATGGCAGGTGCTGCCTTTCAGACATTTTTTAAAAAGTCAATTTGTTGCGCGGTATTCATCCATGAAATAAACAATAAAATAAATAAATATAACACGCACTCAATGACAAATGCTGCATTTCAGAAACTTTTTTTTTTTTTTTTTTTTTTTTTTTTTTTAAAAATCACTTCACAGTTCAGCATTCAGTTAAGCATCAAATCTCATCTTCAGCACTGAGATAAAATAGCAAAGAAAAATGAAACACTGTCATGCACTGCATGACACGAAAACACAGTCACAGACAAGCTTTTTAATTACATCTTCTCACCTCCGTTCAGCCCAGTGCGTCCCTCATTCTAACCTTGAGCATTCTTTTCTCTCCCACAGGCCAGAGCAGATGACCAGAGAGGTGTGGGACTTCATCTTCTTTAAGACGTCTCCTTTCCCCAAGACGGACATCCCTAAAGAGCATCTACAGAAGCTGAGGAGGGAGTTTGAGTACTGGTACCCCGTCGACGTCCGCGTGTCTGGCAAAGACCTGGTTCCCAACCACCTGTCGTACTACTTGTACAACCATGTGGCGATGTGGCCCAAAGACAAGTGAGTTTGCCCACTTGACTGACCTGTACAAAGGACAGGAGCATATAACTGAGGTGTATATTTTTAGCATGAAATATAATTAACAATAGTCAGGTGTTTTAAGATCTGAGGGAAGCATCTGTGAGGATTCAAGTGTAAGTGAATGTTTTTCTAGTATGACTTGATTTTATTTGCTTGCTTTATTTACGGAATGCTAAATTTGTCATCCAAAAGTCATTCCTAAAGAAACAGTTTGGTTTTTGGCAAATACAGTTTTTTACCATGACTTTACAAAAGAAGATTGATACCACTTTTACTACTGGGGGCAGCCAGTTAACTTAGCTTAGCGGAGAGACTCTAAACTGAGGGAAACCCGCATGTGTTTTTAATTGCATAATTGCATTGCAATAAGTCGGTATAAATGCTCATAAGTCAGTTAGCACCTTTCGAATCCGAGGTTACAAAGTGCTTTACAAAAGAATAAAAGGTTAAAAGAACAAAATGAAAGTAACACTACAACAGGAGACAAAGCACAGGGAGGCAGAAAAAAAGTTTCCATAATAACTCAGGCACCACAACACGGAAAAAAGATCTTTTGCTTTGACTTAAAACACCTAAGGGAGTCTGCTGCTCTGAATCTCAGGGGGAGACTGCTCCACAGCCTGGGAATCAGGGCAGCAAACACACAGTCCTCCTGTGTTTTCAGTCTTGAGCGAGGTACAACTAGTAGCCCTTTCTCAGAGGACCTGAGGGGCCAAGCAAAGGTATAAGGCATTTTTATTGATATACTCTGGAGCAAGATAATTCTGTGCCTCATAGATGTGGAGGAGGATCTTGAATTGAATTCTGACTTCAGTCGTAAACTAGTGTAGGGACATCAGAATTGTGGTCATATGAAAATTATGTTTATCATGTTTACAATTTGATAATGATGTTCAGATTTAGTTATTGTTTTACAAAATCCTGGTCTCCAAATTAATGATTCCAGCGAAGGTTTTATTTTACTCCTGTGAAGAATTGTTGAAAAATGGTGTAATTAACATATTGCCTAGCACTAACATACACCCCACTCTTATGTGGAAAAGTATTCGATTTGAAATTGATTTTAAAAAGTGAGCAGCATCCTTGATGATGATGATGATGATGATGATGATGATGATGATGATGATGATGATGATGATGATGATGGTAGTGGTGGTAGTGAAGACAACATTAATGAGAACATTCTGTCTCGTCTACAGCGGGAAGTGGCCACAAGCAGTGCGAGCCAATGGACATCTGCTCCTTAACTCTGAAAAGGTGTGTGAAATATTAATCTGAATATACAGTATGTTTTGTTATTGTAACAAAACGTATAAAATATATGTTTGTTATTAAGGCTATAATTCTAGGAGAAATGGTTTGGTCCCATCTGGGGTGGCATTTGCCTGGTTTGTTTTTTTTTAAGTGAGAACATTTACATTGTTATATTTTGCAGCAAACCTATTTTGTTAAAAAAAAACTACTCTTCTCATGTGCCAGTAATTAACTAGTGTTTGATGCTGTTAAAATTTTTAATTACTGTTTGTGCCGTTGATTTGCACTTGTTTTGCTTTGTTGTAGATTTTAACAACAGACAGTTTGTGACTCAATGGTTTTATTCCTCTATGCTTTGTAATGAACATGTGTGGGTGGGCATACTTGAAAGACTCTGTCTGCTAACATCTGTTTTCCTATTCACCAGATGTCCAAATCAACTGGAAACTTCCTCACTCTCACCCAAGCCATTGACAAGTTCTCAGCAGATGGTACATTCATTTTTCTTGATTTATCTCACTCCCACGTTGTCTTTCTTATCTCTTCATGTCTTTACCCATCTCTCACGGTTTTCCGTTATCAATATCTCTGTAATGCTTTGTTGAAACATAAAGAAAAACACATCAGGTGTACAGTTTAAAACTGATTACAGTGTGTTTTCATAGTGCACGGGCCATTACATGTGATTATACAATATACATCTTTTATCCTTGGGTGAAGATAATTAGAAAAAGGCCCATCTTCATAAGATGGCTGAAGTGTTGATATTGGGTGCTATGAGCCATTGTCTATGTCAGATCTCTAATGCTGCACTGTAAGCAATGAGTTTCAGTATAGTACTTTATTATGTGTTCTTTAATCAAAGTTTGACCAGTAAAGCAGTGTACCGTCAATATGATTTCTCAACCAGAAGCAACTAATTAATGTCCACCAGCTTCATTGCAATAGGAATGTTCTAATCAGTCATGAATGATCGTGTATCGGCATGATCATCAATACAGGCAGTCTGTAGCTACGGTTGGTCTCTTCATAGGGAAACTAGTTCCAGAGGAAAGAAGTAAAGTAACAACTTTAAAATCAAATATTTATAGGTACATGAGAGGAAGACAAGATGTTCACTGAGGAGTTTAGAGACAAAGAATAAGACTTGATGTACAGTGGCAGAATTGGCTTCTGAAAATGTAATTTAAAACTTAGGTCTTATGTTTGGCATAATTAATATAGTAACCCATTTTGGAGAAAGTTTTTTTAGTTTAGTTATTTGATCTTTTTTCATCTGTGCCGGGATGGTGCACACATTAACCCTGATATCCATCCCTCCTGCCTCATTTTTTATGTTCTGAAAGAGCTGAATAATGAATAGATGTGTCTGTTGTTTCTGTAGAACCTGCCCTACCATGGGAGAAAAGAACTTCATGGCCTGACAGCAGATATACTTTTTTAAGTTGACTTTCTGTCTAAGAGCTTGGAGTGATGTCTGCTGGGTATTTGAAGTTTTTCTCAGACTGTGGAGTTTTCCACTAAGTCTGTGAACTTCACCTGGTTGTCAAAGTGTTTTGCAGAAGAGAAAAGAAAAGCTATGTTCAGTGTTTGTATGAATATCATAGGATCAAGGGACCCATATAGTTGAATATTTGAGCATATCCCAAATGCACTGGAGAAATGGAGGCATTGGCCATGTAAGGTTTTTGCTCTGAAACCTTAACTCCAAATCAGCTTCATACATGTTAAATTGCACCTGTGCTGTTGTTCCCTGCACTTCCTGCTGTTTTAACACACCCCTTCATTTACTCTGTCAGGTATGCGTCTGGCTCTTGCCGATGCCGGCGATACAGTGGAAGACGCCAACTTCGTAGAAACCATGGCAGATGCAGGCATCCTGCGTCTCTACACCTGGGTGGAGTGGGTGAAGGAGATGATCGCCAACCAGAACAACCTGAGGACAGGACCTGCTGACACCTTCAACGACCGGGTCTTTGCCAGGTAGATGCAGGAATTCATTAAGAGCTGGTGTATGGATTGACAGGGGCCGAGATTTGCAGCTCACATAAATTATTATGGTCAGATATTCTCATTAAGCAAAGCCATATGCAGGGTTTTTTAAATAATTGAGATGGGCAATACAGAGCTGAATTTCATTCTTGATAACTCAACTGAACATCCTTAAACAACAGGGTCTTTGTCGATGGAAAGAATAAAATGAGAAGCATGGATTAGTAGTTAAAGTGATAAAGAAAAATTGGGTTTGAAATAATTATATATTTCAGTTTAAAAGGTGTCAGAAAATAAGGTAAGAGTCTTGTCAGACCAAGACCAAGAAAAGGATTTATTTTTTAAAGGGCATCTATTATTATACTCATTTCCAGCTCTATTCTCTATATTTTTATTCTGAGCCTGCCGAGAGGCAGCACCCAGTGCTTGTGAGTACGGCCCCATCCAAAGTGTAATTGATTGGAAATGGAAACTTCTTAAATGCATGTGTACATGTTGGAGCCTGAATGTGATCTAGAGTGTGAGAGTGGGCTGTGCAAACATCCACAATAACAAAGATTACAGCAGGACATCTGTGTTTGATAGATGTTATGCCCATTACCTGCTTATTGTGTGACATAACGGTGGATTTAGTCTTTTGATCTCAACCCGTATAGTAAAAATATTTCTATGTGTGCTCCTTTTAAGAGTTGTGTGTGTGGGAAATGCACTAAAAAGCCGACCAAAGTTGAAACATCTGCTGACAGGAAATACCAAAGCTAATTTGCGAATTTATGTTTGCAGTGTCTTCTCAACATGGCAACAGGCTAAAACCAACCAAACTCTTCCCGGCCTCCATCTCTATCTAGCTTTGTTTGAGGACGTGCCAAACTAGCCAGTAGGAGGGTGTTATATATTTTTTTATAATTACTTATAAATCAAATAATTGATAGGTGAAGTAATCCTTTCAGCTCTCGTCTATGCTGAACAGCAATAGAAGACTAATACCATGTTTAGCATTGGTCAGATACATTGGTTTACATAAAATGTTGCAAAGCGAGTCTGTCTCTTTTTATTGCAGAATGATTTTGTCAACTTAGGGGAATTTTTATAAGTCAACATAAGATGCACTGTAGTCAGTTGGCACTCACTAGGCAAGAAATGGCACCAAGCAACTACAAGTAAGCCAGTCCTCCAGCGCTCAGATTCCCTTGGAAGATCCTGGCCTTTTTGAGTCTGTGCTTTACACTGCTGAAATGTGAATGTTAGGCTGACTTTGCAGACTGATTGAAAGGGTTTTGTGTCCTGTCTAGTGAGATGAATGCAGGCATCTTAAAGACAGAGCAGCACTACGACAGGATGATGTACAAGGAGGCTCTAAAGAGTGGATTCTTCGAGTTCCAGGTAAATAGAATATAGAAAAATCCTCTCCAGTGCTCTCTTGAACATCTTTATATCTTAAAGACAAGCATTTTTTTCATCCTCATGTCAAGGACAAATTAAATAGTTTGAGCATAACATGACTCAAGAAATAACTGAATTGAATATAGGATATGGGATAATGTTGGAATCGCATAATAATCAGTGATGATGATGACCTTTTAACCTTGTTAACTGTTTTTATCTGTGTATGCAGGCAGCCAAAGATAAGTACCGTGAGCTGGCTATCGAGGGCATGCACAGAGACCTTGTCTTCCAGTTCATAGAGAGACAAACCCTGCTGCTGGCCCCTATCTGCCCGCACCTTTGTGAATACACATGGGGTCTGCTGGGCAAGGTAAGAAACACACTGTTGATTTCAATCAATTTCAGGTTTTCAGGTTCAAATCTGACTTTCATCCTCTCCTCACTTTTGTCTTTCGAGTTTATCTCCCTTGTATACTTTGAGTTAAAACAGAAATACAGTCAAAAGAGACATTTAAACTCCCTCTGTTCATTTACATTTTGTGATTACACCTGGGATCAACAAGGTAAGGAACATACAGGCTTCATGAAACCCTGCAGTGCCGCTGATCCCACTGCTATTTATCTGTGTGAAATGGCTACTAACACACACACATATTCCCTCGGTTGGTGTACATGTCCACCAGGAGCCTGTCTTCACACCATGGGCCTCTTTCTTTCATCACTATGAAAGGAATGCACACACTCCCCACAGCACAGAGAGCCAAGAATAATTTTAACACTCAAATTTATGAATATGAAAGAGTTCTGCTACACAGTGGATAGGTTTTTCAGTTGTCGCTTAGCAACAACAAAAGCCCCACAACCAGTCTTTTCTCCAATCATGTGTTCAGCACCGCTAGCTAAAGAGCTAAGAGGCACTCGTTGGGCACAGAGGTAGACACAACAGTGTGTGATTCGTACACGTGCCCATGGTGTGTGCCTGGTTTTGTTATTAAGTTGCTGTGACCACTGGCTGTGTAGTTTAATGGGATTTAAAACCTCCAGTGGGCCTCAAACAAGGTTCCCCATGGGTCCTTAAAATGCTTTTTAAAATTGGTGTATTTGAAGGGGAAAGAATCAAGGCCTTGAAAGTTTTTGAAAATAGACAGAAATAATTAGTATATTTTGTGCAGAAATATAAATTGAAGTTAACTTGATTTTTTTTTTTATTAGTAATTTGGTAAATGGGACACGCGCTGCTGTCTGCGAGTGTCTCCTGCCATCTCTCGGCGCTTCAACTCGTTAATGTCTAGGTCTCTATTGCTCAATTTACACAACATATTGTTCTGCTGTGCTGAGAAGGCAAGAGACCATGTAGTCCGCCATCACAGCACAATGGAGAAGTGTTCACAACATCCAAGCCTCTCTCTCTCTTTAATTGGTGTCTGTGAGATTCTGTATAGCCTGCTAGTTCTCATTATAAAAATGCCATTGCTGTACCAGTAATTAACCTTGATATGTGTCTCAAAATATGTCGCTTTGGGTCCTTGAATTTGAGGGAACTGGGCCTGGAAAGTCCTTGAAATATCCTCCAATTTGATGTTTAAAAAAAGTGTGGAAACCTTGTCAGATTTTTGTAGTTTTTTTTGCACTAACAACAGTCTTTGCTCATCAATCACTCCTTTCCTTTCTCTCTCCCTGATAGACCGGTTCTCTGATGAAGGCATCGTGGCCTGTGGCGGGTCCAGTTGACGAGATTCTGATCCGTTCTTCTCAGTACTTGATGGAGACCGCACACGACCTCCGACTGCGATTCAAAGCTTACATGCTTCCCCCAAAGAACAAGGTAAAATATGTGTCTGTGTTGTTTCACATGCTTCACTGCCATCCTACTTTACTGCAGTAATGGCTTTTTTAAGTAACTATGAAAATGAATATTGATTTCAGAAGTGATTGCGCTCTTTTTAATGGTTTTTATGAAATCCAACACAAGTCTGGAAGTGTTCATTAAGTGTGGTAATTAAATCGGAGGCAGCAATGTATTAGAGTCTTCTCTCCCTCAGGTATTTTTTTAACAGTTCCATGGTTGTTTCATGGGGAGCACAATGAGGCAGAATTTTTTTTATTTTTATTTTTTTTAAAGAGCAAAATAAGAATCTTGAAAATATAAGTAAGCAACAGCCAAAAGTAGAGTTGGAGTTCAAAGGCATTTTGTCATATCTGAATCCAGTAAACAATCTGCTAATCGAATCTGAATCCTTTCAAATCACTTATTGAATCTATTAAGACTTATATATAATCAGACTAACTAAAACGCAAGCTTTGTTGAATAACATATTTGCTGTTTAGATGAGCGATTACCTGAATTTTTTGTATGTATTCTTTTGCTAATAAAAAAGGGAGGGGATGAATTTGTACAACTCTGAGCTCAACAAATCTGTAGTGTGTATTTGACCAAATATAAAATAGTTACCTACTTATGGAGGGACATGATTTGCCTTTTTAAAACTTAACTTTATAAAAATGATGTTTAAAATTTGAAAATGAATGAAAATTGAAAATTTTGCTTAAAATTCAAAATTTGATCAACTTAAATTTTCTCACCCTGTGTTAAGCATGCTTATAAAAAGGGTAGCAGTGCACACCTCCTAGTCCAGCATGCAGCAGTTGTAGATTATTGACGTTGTCACCTTCTCTCTCTGCCACGGCGTCCTGTATCCTTCTAGAAACGCTGTAAGACTGTGAAGTCACAGCAGGAAAGCCTGTGAATTGTTTGTTAACAGTTGGGCAATTCAAAAAGTATTGACAAGATTTAAGACAGCCGATACCTCATGCTGTTATTGATTTGCTGCAAATGTTTTGGTCCCATGGAAGCAAGATGGAGGGATGATGGGAAAAGAGGAGAGCAGGAAAGATGGAAGAGGGTGTATTTTTATTATGATTGGTAGTAGCATTTTCATACATTTATGTTAAGGAGACAGATACATTTTGTTGGAAAATTAACAAGTTTCTAATTCCAATCTCCCCCTAGCTGGATTTTGATTTTATGAATGTGCTAATGACTATATATATATTTTTTTTAATAATTGGCAAAAAAATGTCAAGTTGATTGTTTAATTTTTCAGAGGTAATATCAAGTTCTTTATGCAACCTGTGGACTTGCAACTTCCTTCAGTTCAAGTCATAACGCCAAAATTGGAGTCTGCCACATTTATGCAGTAAAGTCTGTATAACTGGCTGCTGTAAAGGCGGAATGTTTTCTCTTTGCATAATAAACCGCTTAAGAGCCTTTTTTCTAATTTTCATAATGTTTAATTTATAGAGGTAATATACTTTCATATCAAGACTCATTAATGGAAACACATACAGGCAAGCATACAGTTCAGGCCTAGAGTCGACTTGACAGCTGTCACGTGAAATAAGTTCACAGATGCCTATCTTCATCGCAGAAGATCACACACACGCACACGAAAATAGCTTATCCAAACACACAGTTTGCTTCCCATCGCGACCGCCCACACCCACAATATATGCTTTCACTGTACTGAATAAAAGCCAAACCATCAAAGTCTTGTTTACCTGACTATAGGGATGAATGAGATGAATCTGAAAATGTTCCATTTTATATCGTTTTTCCTCCAACAGAAAGGTGACTCAAAGCCCCCAGCCAAGCCCTCCCACTGCACCATCTACGTAGCCAAGAGCTACCCTCCGTGGCAGCACAGTGCCTTATCCCTGCTCGGCAAGCACTACAAGGTAAGAAACAATCACACAAGCTCCCATTCATACAAAGCATGAGCACGTTTTTACATATTTTATACACAAAAGTACAGAGGTCAAGAGAGTAGTGATGCACAGAAATACCTCTATAGTATCCACCCATATTTTTCAGAATTGTGTCTTAATGATCCTGTACGTTATGATGTCTTTTCTATCAGTTACCCAGTTCATGACTCTGTCTCTGCCTCTGCTCCTCTTTGTCTGTGCATCTCTCCTTTCTTTGTTTTTTTTTGTTGTTTTTTTTTTTTTTTTTGTTTTTGTTTTTTTGGTGTCTCCCCAGAACAACAACGGGGCCCTTCCAGACAACAAAGTGATAGCAAGCGAGTTGGGGGCCCTGCCTGAACTGAAGAAATACATGAAGCGAGTCATGCCTTTTGTAGCCATGATCAAGGTACGTTTGGAGGAGGTGGAGGTGACATTATGGTAGTGTTTGTGCATCCTGTCCCCTCTCCACAACACTCTGCCGCATTGATTATTATAATGCCCAACCTGTGCATTATAAAAAAAATTTAATTCATTATTTATCCATCATAGTTTTGTGTTCAAGTGGAGTTTGTTTACCTCTGAAGAAGTTGTTTACTCATTATGTCCTTAAGGTGGCTTATCTTTTGTGTTTGCACACAGCTGATTGGTCTAAAGTCTGCCCTGGTAATTCTGTTGAAATGTTGGTGTCGGTATTTTCAAAGGCAGTCTTGTTTGTTTGTTTTTTTATTTATTTATTTATTTATTTATTTTTTATTCCTCTTTGTGTCAAACAACAGCAAAACTGTATCCAATATGATAAAACAGTTTGAACAACAGCATTACATTGAAATTCCAAAGAAATTGCAGGAATACTAAGTCTGCAGAGTTTATTGATTGAAAGAATACAAAACACACTTTTGACAGGCTGTCTCAGTCTGTACCTATGTTTGTTTGCAACATTCATAAAAAATTTAAAACAGGTGTTTATTTCCTTCTTCTTTTACAGCAACAACTTGCCAGGCCGTCTATATGTCTTTCTTAATTCTTATTCCAACCTTTCACAATTTAGCTGCTTTGCATTCAGATTATATTGAATTCATGTCACATTTTAAACTGCGTCACTGCTAGTTAAGTTGTTTGTTTGATCTAATAGCAGCATTCACTAAATACATCCTGGCATTACATGATGGGTAAAATGACAAAAAAAAAACATTAAAGTCTCTCTGCGGTTAACTGTAAGTATATATACACTTAAGGTCTAGTCACTAATAAGTGATCAAGGGGACGATGCTTATTAAAATTTTAGATGTCTCATCTCCCAGGTGCTCAGGGCTTTGTTCAGGTGTTGCTGTTTTCACTGCAGTGATCAAACAGAATAAAACTAATAAATAGTCATGATGAGCTTTGTGTTCGTCCATGATTTGTCTCTCAAGCTGGTCTTTCAGCTTTCAAGTTGTTTTCTCTCCCAGCTCTCCTTGTTTGATGGTTTATTTTGGCATCTTTTGTTCAGAAAGCTTTTTTTTCTTAATAATCTCATGGCGACAACATCAGCATAACAATGAACATCCTGCGTAATGCTGAATCCTAAACTAAAACCTGATTTGTTCAGTAGATGGATGAAATATCTGGTTTCCTCTTAGTCTACTAAATGCTAATGTATTAGAAAACTTAGCTAATTGAAACCGAATGGGTTAACATCTTGATCATTGCTCAGATGAGTTCAGATTATTTACTAATTAATGTACATCATGCAAGTCTGTGTCTCTGTGATTCTGACTGTTTGGGTTCTGCTTTGTGTTTTGCAGGAGAACCTGGAGAAGAACGGGCCCAGGGTTTTGGATCTGGAGCTGGAGTTTGATGAGAGGACAGTTCTGACGGAGAACTTGGTCTACTTAACCAATTCTCTGGAGGTGTGTTCTGTGATCCACCGGTCTTCAGATTAGGCATGACATTCAAGGCACACCCCACTCAAAAAGTCTGTTCCAACCAAAAACACACCTGAGAGGTTTACATGTCCTGAGCCCAGAGCTGAGGGAAGGTGGTAGTGTAATATTAAAACTTCAGTGCAGAGAAGTTTCAAGACGTTTCCTTGATTATCTTCTGTTTGTCTTTTCATAACTGACAAGCTGTAACATACAGTTACAGCATTGTGGTTTCCTCAAAAATACCTCAGCTGAGTTTCAGTACTTCTGCAAAGAATTCAGTTGAGACAATCTTGAGCTCAGCTGTCAGTCAGGGAAGCCCTTAATACTTGAGTCTGCACCGAAGCTTAGCCACAAGTCACAAACTAAAACCCTCAGATATGTTTGTCAAACCAAGAAAAATTGTACATAATTAACGTCAAATACCCTGCATCCCATTCCCATGTGTCTGATTGACCATAGCTGAAAAGATGAATGCCTACACAAAAGACGTGGCACAGAAATATGCTTTATCATGTAGGACTGTAAAAGATATTAACTACCTCACAAACCAACACTGAGAATGGGATTCATCTAAAGTGAGACTCCATTGAATCTGTCTTTTGAGAGACAAAGTGCCTGTTAATATGATTAGTCAGCAGAGAAGTGGTCTCTGTCAAATTTAAACCAGCCTTGGCTGAAGGAGTGTATTTTCAATAGAATGTGGCAGAGTGGTTTTCTAGTTATTCTGTGCACCTCTCACACTGAAATACCATCCCTGACTGGGAATATGTTTCTGATTGGTATAAAGCCAGATGTTAAGGCTCTGATCACTGCAGGAGCCTGGTTAATAACACCAGTGTTTGCCAGTGTACATACCCAACACACCTGTATACAGTATCTGGTAGACCGGGCTGATCAGCTGATTATTGTTTGGTTTTTTTTTGTGTGTGTGTTTTCCATCCCCCTCCATCACATTGTTTCTCCTCTACAGTTGGAGCAGATAGATGTCTTGTTTGCATCTGAGGCTGACGACAAAGTGAAGGAGGACTGTTGCCCAGGGAAACCGTTCAGTGTTTTCAGATCAGAGGTAAACGCTTTTGGCTGTGTGTGTCGGCTGCTCTCAGAGCAGACTGTGTGTGTGTGTGTGTGTGTGTGTGTGTGTGTGTGTGTGTGTGTGTCTGTGTGTGTGTGTGTGTGTGTGTGTGTGTGTGTGTGTGTGTGTGTGTGCGTGTGCGCGTGCGTGCGTGCGTGCGTGCGTGAGTGCGCACGTTGGAGAACTTCTTTTTCAGTCACCCATTTGTCAGCTTTTAAGATCTAATTTTGCTGTTTGCATATTTGCTTTGTGTGTGTGTGAATGTGTTTGTCTCCGTAGGTGTTTGTTCGACTGTGATCCTTTCAGCAGCAGTATTTGTGTCCCTGATCAACAAAATGGTTGTTGCACACTTCAAATCAACACATAAATTGTGTTTGTGCATTCGTTTCCTCCTTTGTCTACCCAGCCTGGAGTGTGTGTGTCTCTGCTCAACCCTCAGCCATGCAACGGCATGTTTTCTACAAAGGTTGACATCCGGCAGGGGGACAGCAGGGACAGCATCATCCGTAGACTAGCCAAGGTCAACAGACTCATCAAAGGTTAGCAGAAATTCATTAACTATGTTTAGGAACCAAAACTGGGATTGTTAATATACAAAAATGATTATAATCAAAGAGGATGAAAATATTTACTTGCTTTAGGTGAAAATGTGTCCGAACAGTTGGATCAACGTTTTTAAGAGTTAAGCTAATTAGTGGAAAAAGGTACAACACCTGCGTCGGTGGCTCAGCTGACTAAGACACACATTATGTAACTGATATCCAACAGCTGAATCTGTCCATGTCATCCCTCCCATGCTTTTACATTCTTTCCCATCTGCCATCATGGTGCATAGGGTCTGGGTAAGGGAGTGGCTCCAAGCTATGACCAGAAAAACACCTACTGCTATCACGTTAACAGTTTGTTTTTTTTTAAAATTATGTTAACAGTTGTGCTTTTCTGTGCTGTTGATTTAGTATCTGCCCACATACAGTAAAGTTTTTACTGATTAGTCAGCTCACAAAAAGTGGTTGGCATCATATTAGAGCTGGGAAGAACCAAGCTATGTGCTTTATGTGGGGACAATTTGCACCCATTCTGTATATAGGGATAACCAGCACCACCACCCTTCATGAGCGACTTCAGATAACACTCCAGTCAGATTATAATACCATCAGGCATTCTGCCCTCTCAGAGGATTTGCTTTCCATTACTCCACATTGTCTTTCATCTTTTGTTTTAGTTTTGTATTTTTTAACATGCTGCAGATTTTAAAAAAGCAGAATAATGTTCAAGTGCATTAGTTTAGGTAAAAGCAGCTCAATATATGACCCAGTTTGCTTTGTAGTCTATATCCCTGTCACCCCTCTCCTCCGTCCCTCTGTGCTCTGGTTTCTCAGTGTGCTTCATCACTTTCCCTCCTCCACCTCTTCCTTTCCTTCTCTCCTCTGTTTTCCCTTCCATTCTTTGTTCCTGCCGGATCCCTCTGCTGAGTCTCACCTCTGCCAATGTCTGTCTCACCTCACCTCGCCTCTAATTCCTCTGACTCTGCCTACTTCCCTTCCCCTAGACCTGTCTAGAGTGAAGCTGATGAGGTATGAGGACCCCATGCTGGGGCCTCGCCGGGTGCCCGTCCTGGGACAGGAGGAACAGGGCAAACTGCCCATCTCCAACAAATCTGTGTTCAACATCAATCTGGAGGAGAAGAGAGTCACTCTGGCTGACAACGGCCTCACTGTGGACATCGGGGACACTCTGGTTTATCTGGTTCATTAGAGTAACATTCACTCTCTCTCTCTCTCTCTCTCTCTCTTCACAGTCACACAGACACAAGCAAGACACACACACACAGGCACATGGGGGCACATTCAGCAATGAATCACTTGTGACAGGTTCAAATGCATCATGAAATATTATAATAAAAATGGGCATTTTGACTCAAAGCCATAGAACACTGACTCAGAAGTGCATGGTAATAATTAATGTTTCCGTATTTGCACCATTAGCTACAGCATGTGGTGTTATGATTTGAAAAATATTCTCCCTCTCACTGTCACTGAATTTTCCCTCTTCATCTTGTCACTGCTGAATGTGACCTCAGGGAATTTCTGTATCTCATGGGACCTGAAAGATTTGCCTCCATCTTCTTTTCTTTTTTTTTCTTTTTTTTTTTTTTTTTTAAAACAACTCATACAGTTGTAGTACATTCAGATCTGGGTTTGGTCTGGACAAAACAGAGATGGTTCAGGGTTGTTATAACCTTATCCCACTGATAAAATTCTGAGACTGTTGGGTCCTTGATACTTAAATTAGGTTCTTTAATGGTGAAAAAAAACCTACAATTTAGAAAAAAAAAAAAAAAAAGTTCCCTTAATGCTTTGGTATGGGAGTATAACACCAGGATTTATATTCCGTTCCATCTTTTCATTGTCTGTCAGGTTAAAATTAAACCTCATCAGTTCAGTCCTGTTTGATATGACGCATAATAAATACATTAACTATTTGTATTATAAAGCTTTTGAATATTGTTTGTTTCTGAAAGGGAATGAACAAACATCTACCACCGTGTCCTATTTTGTCGCTGACCAACCACTTATTTTATGTTATTACGTAAAATGAGGCTGCTACTGCATTTGCCCCAATGCCCCTTGTTTTCATATAGATGGTGATGCGTCTGCTGTGTTGTTTTATACATCGAAGGTGAGGCATATCATTCCTTCGTGTTTTGTCAGCCTGTCAGACCGCTTTCCTATTTTCTAGCTGTGGATGGCACATGTCTGAATCGTGCTTTTCCAGAGAAATAATAAATCCGATAAAATATTCAGCCTCTGTTTTTTTTTCTTTCCCTCTCTGTGCTGCTTCTTTTTTTCTTTTCTTCTAAGGACAAAAACTAAGACAAGTTGTCCCCACAAGAATGAGACTCATCTCAAGAGTGCGTCATGATTTTGGGGGAAGTTGTTGGATCTTTTCCTCTATAGCATGGATGGTGAGGACTCTATGTGAGCACTCTTCTGATGAGATCGATGTGTAGCTACAAACTGTAGCTGTGAGGGGTTAGAGTTTGTAAGAAATTCAGCACCTACAGGCAACATTTATTGATGACTTGGATTGGAGTATGAAAAGGAGATGGAATAGGCAATAAATTCCTGCTGACTGAATGAATAAAATATTAGATAAATAAATCGTTACCATTAGGTTTCTAGATACTGAGGTAAAGTTTAACATATTGAGAGATGTACTTTTTCGCTTTTTTGATGAGTGGTAGGTGAGAGGATTGATACCACATGTGTATGCTCAATACGATGATGGCGGCAGCAGTCAGCTCACATAGCTTAACACAAAGACTAAAAACTAAAGGTAGATCAGCCTCTCAGCACCTCTAAAGTCATTAATTAACACATCTTTGGGTTTAGGCACATGGCAGCCCGTTTGAAGTTTGTCAAATGACGGTTAACAATGCTCTATGTAAGTTTTTGCTATTGCTACATGGCCGATGTTAGCATTAACAGCTGTTTACTTATCAGTCTAGAAGAAACATGAGTTCAGCATTAAATTTCATTCCTTTGCTCACAATGAGCTGTCTCCGGAGGTGGAAAGCCGTGCTAATGTTAACTCTTGTTTTGCTTCTATTTCTATCACATCTTTTCTTCTAAGGAAGTTAGCATGCTAACCAGCTAGCCTCAGCAGTATCATATTTGCGAGGTCAGCCCTATGTTCCCACAGCCCTATGTTCCCACATTTCTAAGAATGTTTTGAAAATTAGGCCCTATTTTCCCACAGTCTTATATATTCCCATAAGCCCATGTCCACACTAACCCGGGTAATATTTATCCGGTTAGCCCTTCTGTCCACATTAGAATGGTGAATTCCGTAACTGAAAACGATGCTTTACAAAAACGATCGCTGAGGTGGATAAATGTGAAGATGCCGTGGAACGTGGATGCAAAGCGTTCTGAAAGGGTATAAAAGGGGAATATAGGGCTGTGGGAACATAGACACGCTCCCGTATTTGCGATAGTGAGTCACTGTAGCGTCCAGTCTGCCCTCAGTTCAGCATAAGGGGATGAAGAATCAGCGCTGCCCAGAGGACATATTCTAACCTCTTGTAAACGCAACAGTGGCTGAAACTCTTGGCAAACAGCCATAATCACCACCACCCGCTCCCATAAAACACCATGTATGGAGGCAGAGAAAATTTACATATAGCACCTTTTAAAAGACTCTGAAAGCATGAGAAAAAAAAATTCTCTGGTCTGATGAGGCAACAATTTGGAATCTTTGGGCAGAACTCCAAACATATCTGGCGAACAGCAGGCACCGCTAATCATCTGGCTAATACCATCCCAACGGCGAAGCATGGGGGGGCTTCTCAGCAGCAGGGAGAATGATTAGAACTGAGGGAAGAATGAATGCAGCCAAATACAGAGGCCGTTTGAAAAAAAAAAACCCTGCTCCAGAGTGCACGCAACCTGAGACTGAGGCGACAGTTCACCTTTCAGCATGACAATGACCCGAAGCAAACAGCCAAGACAATCTCTCTGACTGTCCTTGAGTGGCCCAGCCAAAGCCCAGACAGAAAACCCCAGACAACATCTGTGGAGAGGCCTGAAGATGGCTGTTCGCAGATGCTTCCCACCCAGTCTGACGGAGCTTGAGAAAATCTGCCAGGAAGAATGAAATAAACTGCCCAAATCCATGTGTGCAAATCTTGTAGAAACTCAAAGCGGCAACTGCTGCCAAAGAGGCTTTTACCAAACACTGAATTAAAGGTTCTGAATAGTTGTCAAATAGTTATTTGTCACTATGGGTTAGTAACTGAAGACTATTGGACAAAAAAATGCATTTTAATCTCTTATAAAGGAGGTAAGCCAAGATTAAAGTGTCAACTTTTAATGTTCTATATATTTCTCATAATTTTCAGTTAAGACCTGATGTGCATAGGTGTGAGTGTGTGTGTTTTAACTGCCTGAGCCTCGAAACCCATGGTGGTTTCACTATGAGCTCCCCTCACTCCTCCCTCCCTCTCTGTCATTCACAGGCACACACACACACGCACGCATTATACTGTATCTCCCCTGAAATAGAAAGGTCAATGTCAGAACACAGGAAATGCGTGAATGCAGACGGTCCCAAAATAAACCACAGGTGTTTCATTGGATCTAAAATGCATCTTTCACTTCCCAGCTCTTCACTGTGCAAGTCTGTGTTCCTGCCTTAAGGGTGAGTGCAACATTTACTGTATGTCTTTTTAAATACATCAGTTTAATAGAAGCATTAAATGCCTTTGAATGTCATGGGTCAAACAAACTGTTTGATTTGATTTCCTGTGTTTGAGTTAGTATATCATCATCATATCAGTTAATTTTTATGGCTTTAATTTCTCATACTTGTGTATATGTTTTAAATGTGCAGTGCATCCATGTTATATTCTACAGACAATAAATGTAAATAAGTAATTCGTTTTGTACAAGAATTCAGCCTGTTCTGGCCACCTGCTCGTGTGCCTGTTAGCGGTGTATGCATCCATTCACATCTGATTATTTTACACCACACATTCGTCCCCCCCCCCCGATGTGTATCTCCCCTTTCCTGCATTTGCTACATTAGTGGGGTCGACACAGTAAAGTCTGAGGCGGAAGACAACTAAGACTTATCTCTGTCACACAGCTTCTGGCCAAGCCATCCGACTGCTGGTTTATCTGCTCCGACACACACCCTCTCACTGGGGAAGTGTCTCTCTGCCACCCCCACCCCCACCTCCCTCCTCCCTCTCCACCTCCTCATTTCTGCTGACTGCTCAGCCTCTCCTCTCTCATCTTCTCGCCTCACCCCTCTCTGGATGCCAGTGCCTTCTAGTCATGGAGCAGACGACAGTCACACACCAGTAAGTGCTTCTTTGTCCCTACCAGTGCACAGTCTTGTCACCAATGAGCACAATGGAATTACAGCCAACAGCTCACTTATCTTATTCTGCTTTTTTGTTTCTCCATGATAATACATATAAAACAGGAACATTTTTATAAATCTAGCATTGCTGCAGCTTCTGCTAAATTAAACGTATTTTGATTTTGCCTTCACTACAGTTTGCTGTAATTAAAGTGTTGCTGAAGGCCTAAATTAGATGCAAGAATAAATGCTTTGTTACATACAGTATTTTAGCAGTGGTAGGATAATATTAGTTGGCTATATTAGTGTAATTGTGGTGCTGTGCTGCTAATCTTTCATAGAAGCCTGAGCTGAGTACAAAACATGCTGCTGTAGGAAAATGAAATTAGCTGAATGAATGAAATGAATTAAATTCCTGCTTTCAGGAGAGCAAAACACACTAATTGGCTAATTTGAGACATTTTCTCTCAATATTAAGCCTGCAGTCGAGCATCAGCGGCGCTTTAGAGGCTTGACAAGTCATGGTGACATTATCAACCACCTGTCTAATGACAGAGTAATTAAAAATCTCATTTCAGACCAGGACTGTCACTCAACGAAGCCTCAGAATCAGCAGTTCAAGAAGAGGAAGTGAAGGACTTCACCACAGGAAGTGAAGACAGGTGGAGGACAAACAACGTCCCTGCAGCAACAGATCTAGTACTCACCCAGCCCGGGCTCGGCGTCACCACGACAACCATCACCACCATCACGCAGACAGGAGGAGGCTGGAGCACTGGCCTGTTTGACATCTGTGGAGACAAGACTACATGTAACACGAACGCACCGCCAGACACTGCCAGCACAGGACTCACATACACCAATCACAACTTTGTCTGTTCACAGTTTTATTTTTTACAAAATTAATTTGGTGTTAGGAGCATCTTCATTCATCATTGGAATGGAATATGATCAAACTGAAAGGAATAAATGTGTCTGTCCCAAACAAACTTTCTCCCACACAGCAACACACACACACACACACACACACACACACACACACACACACACACACACGCTGTGCTGACCTGTGTCTGTGCTTGCAGGTATTCTCGGGGCTCTGGTGCCGTGCTGTTTAGACCTGAGTTTAGCTCACCAGTACGGTGAGTGTCTGTGCATGCCTCTCTTACCAGGATCCACTTTTGCCCTACGAGTCGGGATCAGAGAGCGGTACAAGATACGGGTGAGTGTGTGGACATATTGTATTTGTCAATGAAGGGTGAAGATTTGTGCTGCTTGTTAGAAATCTCCTAAAGACACCAGCAGGTGGACATTTACAAAAACTCATACCAGCATCACCAGACATCTATAAAGTAACTTTAAGTTGTATGATTGAATTTCTGTGTGTATGCTTTTCTGTCTTTTTACTCATGGTTCTGGATTTGTTCTTGCTGCATTGTTTTGTCTGAATGTGTGCTTCCTCTATATGTGTTTGCATATATATGTGTGTGTGTGTGTGTACGCGTTTATCCACAGGGAAGTGCGTGTGAGGACTGGACCACAGTGTATTGCTGTTACCCTCTGGCAGTATGTCAGATGATAAGAGAGATGAAGCGACGGTTGAAGACTCAGACGTATCATGTGTCCACTGCCCTCGAGTGCTCCTGAGTAGATGAGGCTTTTCTTTTTACAGTGCAACAGAGACCGTTGAGGATCAGCTGAGATCACTGGTATGAATAGCTTGGAGAATCAATGCTAAAGGTTTGAACTTACTGTTAACAGCCCCTGAAGAATGCCTGGGACAATAAATCAAGCGTACAATGTTCAAAGAAGACTGGAAAGGATGAACCTTGATTAATAGGGTACAACAACGAGAAGAATCGCGGCTGTTAGGTTTTGAACTTGTGTGTAGGGCTTAAAACTGCCTTAGAAGTTGTTAAATCAGCCTTTAAACTGCTGTTGGACTTCTGTTTAGAGAGGATATCATGACTATATTGTGCTTTTCTTGCAGAGACAAGAATTCATTAATTGCATTTTGACTTGAGTGAAAAGCAGGTGGCAAGACACGTACGTATTTGGTTTCAGTAGCCGTCATTGTAAGCAAAACATCTGGCATAGTTATGGCAACTACTGAAACTGCCATGTGAGCAGCTTTAGCTGAGGTCATAATCAAAGTCATTGAAACATATAGAACTTTATTGAACAATAACATCTTTGACGGATCTCTTTCAGAGCTCAGTTCACCCAAATCCTCATAATACATTTTATCACGCACACTGCTAATGGTATCTAGGCATGCGTAGTTTCAGTTGTATTGTGGTCACCTCAGTATAATGGAGGTAAACTCAACTCAACTCAAAACAGTGAACATTTGGATTTTTGAAAAAGCTCGCTGGTAAGGACTATTTCTCAGATAGAAAGTGGTACAAACGAGGTCATCTTTATCTGATTTGTGTGAAGCGACCCCTTTAATTCTGTCTCGCATGCCAAAGGTCACCAGACGCATTAATATCTACAGTCCTCCTCAGACATGAGGGGAAGATGAAGCGAGGCTTTCCCGACCTTGAGGCACAAATTGTGCAATGGGGACTCAACATTAGGGACAATATCAGAATAGTAATAAATCTTATTTTCAGTTTCACATTTAGAACCACATTAAACTAAAGCACAGAAAAGATGCATACCACTTCAGTTTGATTTACACAGTCATTTGGTCCCTCAAGTAAGCATTAATGCTTTTGAGGGTTGATTTATTTGCATGGGATGAGACAAGTGTGAGAGTCCATTCAGTATGCAGGACCACCTGTTTTACCCGGGTGGTCCGGCTCAGATTACAGTCAACAGTTTAAGTACAGTCTGATGATAATAAAACCTATTTCCATATTTCTGTTATTCTTTTATCCTTCTATTCCTTGGTTCACCCTCAGGCATTCAATCATATTATTAATCCAGTTCTTCCCTGAACCTGAAATACCAACCAGCAAGAACGGATATGAAAATGTTATTTATACACAAAGCAGATGGGTCCTCAAAGGGCAAATATATAATTTGTTAACTTCAACGGATGTGGTCCCCGCACCTGCCAGCTGCCTCAAATGAATTGGTGGGGAAAAGAGAAATTGGTTTGGTGTCAAAAAAGAGAGATGTGAATAATAAAACCCAATCATATTGTACATACAGCACACAGCAAGGAGTTAATCTGCTGAATGAAAATAAATATTTTTCAATCACTGCAATTCTCTCCTCTAATTATTTTGTTGTTTGTTTTTAGTATATTGGAAGTTCTCATCCTTAACCAACACTGTTATGCTATTAAAGGCATCAGGATGGTGTAATATTATATGCCTTTTATGTAGAAGTAATCCACACTTGTGAATAAAGACGAATGATTTCGGATGGTAGTTCTTGCACCAGTTGTACACAGAGGTCTGCATATTATTTCTGCTTATAAATGCTGTGAGCTTGAGAGAGGGAGTGTAACACTCCACTCTCACTTTGCTTTGCATTATGAGGGGTTTCATCTCACAGATTATGTCCCTCTGTGGACATTTTGAATTCAGACTCTACACAGAAGACCAAGAGCAGCCCATATCATGCTGCTGTGTACCCATGCAGATCAAAGAAACATCAGCAAACAGACAAACATTTTGCAATTCACAGAGTCCCAGCTGAAAAACATCTTAAAAATATGTTCACATTTTTGTAGCAAAAGAAAAAAAAAAAAGCATACTGGTACAGACATCATGCTAATTAGTAAAAACGACCCAGTATAAGCTACAATACCTACCATCCTGTGATGAAAAAACATTTGTTGTTGTTTACAAGATTATAAAGTTCTCTTGCTTTATTTAGAGTCCTTACTTTGAAATAAAAAATACTTGTGTGTCTAAGTTTTATAACAGCTGGAACATAGGTTCAGGATCTCCACCACAGTTATAAGGACAGCAATATCTTACTTGGGATTAGCATTCAGCTCCAGTGTTTCCTGATCAGCCCAGGCTGGATAAATGCTCCTGTAGATCCTCTGCTCTCTGTCTACTGGGGGTTGTTGGCCAACAGGATCTGCCTCAAGCAGAGTTGCCTTCAGGCCCCACGGTAGCATCTTTCCCACCCTGTGCAGCGACTTAATGTTATTTCTTCAGCATCAGTAGACCATAACTGAGTTGTTAAATTGGAAATCTATTTGCTTTGCAAATCAAACACACTCTCAGAATGTCCCACATACTCATGCAATCTTCATTTCTATATTTACACACTTTTTTTTAGTTATTCCCTCCAAATTAGTGGCTGTCATTAAACCCCACATTTAATTATATGGCAAACACTTTTTCCAGGTGCCCACAAAAGTCTATATCCTCCTGCCTAACTTGAATTATGTGATAAACAGAATGCGCATCCCAGGTACGCTGGATAATATGCAGACCTTGCTGTTAACAGCTTTGTTGGAACTTCTTCCAAAAGAAATAGTCCCTATGAAAGTCTGAAGCTGATGCTGAATCTGGCACATACATAGACAGACCTCAAACGGGGTTTGAGCATCTGCCTCCTTGCATCGTCCTGTAAATTGGTTGCAGTGTCATGAATGCAGCATCACTGAATAGGAGTACTTATTGCAGATGTACGTGATTACTCATTCAGGTGAAAGATGTGTCATGTATAACGTCAGCATGTTATGAAGTAACTAAGAAATAGCGACGCTCTTCTTCTTATTATTCAAGATTCATCACGGTACGATGTCATGACAGAAAGTTAAGGTTGGCAATATTTAGTTCACTGTGAGGAAACATGACCAAACAGCTCTAATGTAGACCTGCTGACACTGTGTTTCACCGGACCCGCGTTTACTTTGCAGGGAATTCTGGCAAGTTCAGCACCTTCCTAATGGAATTTGATTGACATTTTAGAAAGCAACTCTAACATGCAGATCTCAATTTATCAATGTATCATAAATCAGCTTCAAAAGTTGCAAATATTGTTCATTTTCTGATCAAAATTTCTCAACTTTTCTAATTTCTCCGGCCAAATGAAGGATCAGCATGAAAGGGCTAAGCACAAGGCATTTCCCTGCTGTCTCCAATGGTTACACATACATTAAAATGTAGTCATATGCATATCACTCCTGTCTGTTAACATCTTATCATTTATTGCAATACATTTAAAATTCATTAAATCTTACCTCTGGTCATTTCCATTGAGTTGTACTGATGTAAAACGCAGTTTTGTTCACGGACCGGTAAAACAAACCTCTGCCACTGCTGCAGACAGACAAAGTTACAAGTGACAAGGAAGTGACATCCTAACTGATGACCTGCCTTGAGAGGACAGATTGCACTTTAATTTTCAATTTGACCCCTAAAGACCGTTGTGACATGTAAATGTAAATGCATTGGACTGTGGGCGTTGTTTGATTATTGTTTTTGAATATTGTCACTGTGGAGCAGGTTAAGTCTTTTTCAATTTTCATGTTAGTACAGTCATAGAACGCCGACATGATTATGTGAAAATTAAAATATAAATTGGATTATTGCATTTTCTTTTTAACTTTCACTTAAATGATAACACATACTGTGGAAGGTGGGGTCACATGACTGCTGGACTTAAGAGCAGCAGGAGAACAGGTGTGCTAATTGGTCAGCTCACACAGGTGCCTTGAGTGTTCTTTGTCCTGTGCCCTGAGCTCGTTCTCTGTTTGCCCTTCAGTTGAGCTGGTTTTACTCTCTCATTTCACATTTGTTCCTGAGTGCGTTGACGGAGAAGTGCTCATGTTTATTTTGTTGTCAAGTAGTCCATCTAATCTCCTTGGTTTCTTCACACATGGTAATATATTTACAGTGAGAGTGTACTGATGTATTCATTTTGATTCCGAATTTTGTTGCTTTATTCAAGATAATATGATAGAATTTGACCTGTGTGTGTGCTCTCTGTCATTTGTAGAAATATAACCACTCAACTGTAACTACTCACATCTGACTGACTGCAAGCAAAAGATTAATTACTTTCAAATGGAACTTGCTGACTGCTTTTCCTGTTTTGTCCAGTCCAGTGTAATCCTAGAACACATACATGTGTGAAAAATTACATCACTATCATTGAATTACATTTTCAAGTTTATGATAAAGTTCCCTATAAGCTTCTATAATGACTTTAATATTTATAATTTTAGCCTGTTATTTTTCTGCACCAGATGCTTTGAGGGTGAAAACACTATATCTTAATGATGGATTGTGCAATTAAAGGAGAATCCGACCCTTTTTAAGAACTCACATTTCTTATTTCTGTGCCCTACAAAAAGATTGGTGAATATTTGTGAACATGCAGCACTCTCCTCTGAAGTTAGAAACCTTAAAATTTGTCACCCCAGTTTGCTCTATAACAATGAATGGGGCTCTGACGCTGTGAGGCTATAAAATGACTGAGTAATGTCTTACACCGAAATGAGTGTTTCAAAATCTGAAAGTTTATATCCAATTTAAAATGTGGATAAGACCTGCTGGGGCGCGCACTACCATACGTTATGGAGTTAGCGAGGTAACTTATTCCCCCCAGTGGCTCACAGTGATTTCAGCTATATGTCCTCAGTTGCCTGACTGATGAAAGCAAGCCTTAAACTGTTTTACACTGACATTTGCAAGTCTATACTTCCACAGTATGTTTTTTTTGTTGTTTTTTTTTTTGCTATATTAGTTCACTTGCATTCAGTAGCTCTTAATGTGGGGTGTTCAATGAAATAGTAATGCAATTCCTGCATTCCATATTTTCATTTGTCACTTATGACATTGAATCAATATTTTAATGGAATTTAAATACAGTATACATCCACTGGGACTAAAACAAAGTCAGTGCCTTGTGTGGTGTGTGGAGTACAGCCCGATTTGAAGGTTAGGACAGATAATATAGACTTAACTGTCCTTGGGCACAGGAAAAACATATGTGACATTTAGGCCTTTTATTTAGTGAAAATTGCTCTTTACACTGTCTTTGTGTTACAACATCCTGATATAATTTGTTCAGTTTTATTTAAAAGGTCTTATTTTTCTTACAGTACATGCTAAATGAGGGTTAAATGGATGATTGATAAATCTTTTAGGTTCTTAAATCCTTAGAATGCTTAAACGTGTTATAGTGAAAAGAGGAGCTGCTTAAAATGTGCTGTCCTGAAACAGAAAGTAATTTTATTTAATACAATTACCATTATGTATTTTCATAGGGATGCCAGAATCCAATCTCAGGCCACCTGATGGTCCCCCACAACCAGTAAGGAATGGTAAGTCATGCGCATGACTACACCCCATACATAGGCTTAAATTAGGGTCCAAATGAAAGTTTGTGCATGTGAAAAAAAAAATTGTACTTGTGTCCAAGAAATTTGTATATATTGGAAATATTACCTTACAAGCTCAAAATCATTTTGGCCCTTATTTGAGGCTACATAGATGTCGGGGGGAGTAAGTTGGGTGGCTGGGCACATGGCCCATGGGGGGGTTAGCTAGCCAGTTTCACAGACTGCCTGAAATGGGTGAAAGTCACCAAAGAAAATAGAACATATTTCTACTTATAACAGCAAAAATCATTTAGTAACTAACGAGGCACTGTTAGTTTGATAGCCTACATGCAGGTGCCCCCTCTCTCTACTGTGACAGGAGGGTATAGCAAGTACACAGTTATGAAAAAAAGGGAAAAGTCATTTTGTGTTTGTGCGTGTGTGCGCGTTTACACATGTGACCAAGCACGATGATACCATTTTGTATGCTGGCCTACTTTAGGGTGTTACAGGGAGGAGTAGTATTATTAGTAATGTAAATACTGTACTTGCAGGTAGCATAAGTCAACAACAACAGCAGGCTAATACAGGAATAAATGATAGTTATAATAGTAATTAACCATAATAATACATTATACAATAAATGAATGTAATAAATCAATTCAGCATTCGGATGCATGGGTATAGAAGCTGAAAAATTGCCTTTTTATGAATTTGAGCCCCTGCACCTCTAACATCCACTGCACCATAAACAAAATTCCACTCACCTCCACTGCAATGGGGTGAGGGCAGAAATCTCAGAGGCAAAAAAATCTGGCCAAGAAAAAACCCCTCCAAACTATCTGCATGGCTAGTTTTTCATGATTTGCCATGAACTGATCCTTTAACTATAAAATACTGTATCCTTCACTGCTGTTTCATGAAA